AGTAGCCCAACATTGGGAAAAGCAGCATCTGGGCACAGGGCAGGCAAGCTTGGCACAAAGGAGATGAGCGTGTCAGTGCTCATCGGGGTGAGTGGCACTGAGCAGGGGCTCTCTGTGTGTGCGGTGTAGGCAGGACCTCAGCTTGTTCCTGTGAAATTAATTCAGCTTGGTGCAAACCTGCTCCCCACAAAGGCAGAATCCTGTTGGTGTCTGGGTATCCTGCAGCTGACCCTGCTGCCCAGCAGCACCGTGCCACCCTCAGCATCCCTGAGCCAGTACCTGCTTTTCACAGCCAGAATTTGGCACGTCTCGGTCCTGTGACAGAGCAGCTGCTTTCATAGCTGTAAAAGCACAGCTTTCTCCATGGTTTAACACCCTTAAAAAAAAATATTAAAGCAGATGGAACTAGACTACAAGCAGCTCAGTGTCAGCCCTGATTAGATAATTCTGTTGGGCATTTCCCCACTCATGACCTCTGCTCCTGAGAGCTTTTAAAGGGATGTAAAGACCAAATTTCATTTATCTCCAGAGCCATTTCTTTCTGAGTGCTACTATTATACCTCAGATGGTATGAAACAAAGGATATTAAAAGACAGATTGAATTTTCACTCTGATCCAGTCTGGGGAAATAAAGGAGTTAAATTAGTGCTTTGCTTCTCATGCATTAGCCCAGTGTCTCCAGTAGTCACTCTGTCCTGCACATTCCTTCTTGCATGACACATGGGACACAGCACCCTCCTGCAGAGAGCAGCTCTGTGTGTTTGGCCTGCTATTTGCCATCTCTGGAGGCTGCTGTTATTCTCGTTGCTGGTTAAGATGAAAATGTGTTTATATGTGATCACAGTCCAGTTGCTCTTGTCCTGAGACATCTGTAGCATGTGTATTTTTCCTCCAGGAGGTATGTGTCTCCTGACCTCTGGAAGCTGGCCCCATACCAGTTCTGTGGAGGATGTGAAGCTATGGCAAAGCTTTGGGATCTCAGTTCTGGAGAAATTATCTTGAGCTTTCATTTCAGAGTCTCCCTGCCCAGCTCCTGTGTGCCAGCCCTGAGAGCAGTCCTCGGGGAAATGCCTCAGGGCAGGACCCAATCCCCAGCAGCAGGCTAGTGAACCTCCTCCATTTGCATGTAATTACAGCTTTTCTTTTGCTTGAAAGTTTTGGGAAATCATTTGCAATTCCTACCTTTGTGCCAGCAGACAACAGCAGTAGCAACTGAGGTGAGGGGTGATACCTGTAGGCATTTGGGGCTTTGGTGTTCCCAGGTGGCTGTGTTAGTGTCACTGGACTGCCACGGCCCAAGTGGAGTCCAAATAGCAGCAGCCTCTCTCAGATCACTACCCAGAGGGGATGTCTAAGGGTCGTTCTGAAAGGCCACATCCTTTTTTCCAAGCACTGCTGGCCTGCCTGGCTGCTCCCTGCACATACTGCAGTGATATTGCTCCAGCCTGGAGAGGAGGAGACATCCCTTCTGCCCTGCATACAGACCCACAGCCTCCTCCTGGCTTCAACCACAGAGGCAGCTGCCCCAAACAGGCACGATGCTCTCCTAGGGTCTCTACAGGGAGCCAGTCCCTCTCTGGGGGCTGCCTGGGGCAGATCAGTGCTCCATCAGTTCCTGGGCTGTGGCTGCCACTAGGGTTGTCGTGCAGATCTCGGTGAATGTGAAGCTCTGCTTCTCTCAGCCCCCATGAGACCAGAGAGCTTTTGAATCCTGACCTTCAAACTTCATCCCCCTTCACCATGGCTGCCTTTGACTCCTGTGGCTGCCCAGATTTTCTCAACAGCTGTCCTCTGCCTTGCTGGCTTTGTGCCCAGATCAATCTGTCTGCGTCTTGCAGTGCTCTCTTCACTCCCCAAGGTCCTCCTTGAGTTCCTGCAGCCTCCATCCCCTGAGGCCAAGTGCCTCTGCCTGATGGAGAGAGTTCAGGGCACCTCCAGCTCCACTGGACTTGGATGATCCTGCTGCCATGGAGTGGTCACTGTAGGATTTGGACCTCTTCTCTTTCTATTTGTAAACCCCCCCCAAGCACAAACAGGGCTTGGTAAATACTATTGTGATTAAGGGGTTTAGATGGAACAGATCTGACAGCCCCCATTGAATGTGATCTGAATGCACAGCCCTGTTCCCTCTCCTCCCTTTGCATGCAGCAAACCCCTGCTCCTTAGGGCATAAATTACGTACCGTTCTCTATAGAATTGAAGTCATGGTTAATTCACCAGCACGTTCCTGCTGCCCAGCAAAAAATTATGACACTCTTTCTCCTCCTCTGGCTAGTAGAGCTGCTCAGTACCTCTGCCTGACTGGTGGAGGGAGGCAAAAGCTTTTTATTTTCAGGTGTTCTGCTTATTTCTGAGTCCTAGGTCTTGTCTGTCTCTTCAGTGGACAGGCAAAGTGCAAATATTGAAATATTTGCTAGTGGAAGCCAGAACTAATGCCCAAATACCTTTCTTGTAGTAGTTGGAATGGCTGGCCACAGGAGGTAAGTGGGGATTTCCTGATCTGAGTTCCTCCTGACCATGTGTGGCTTTGTTTTAGAGCAGCAACTCACATTCGGTATCTCCTGGGTCCCATCTGGAGCCTGAGTGGGAAACTGTGCTCCTAGCAGTATTTTGAGATGTAAAAAATCACTAGTGTGGAATGGCTGCGAAGGATGCTCAGTGCACAGGGAGCAGACGAAACAAAATATGTCCTTAGGGCTCACCACTGTGTGAGCGAGGCAATGTGATGTGTGATTTTTGGGCTATTATTAATTCAACAAAGAGTGGAGTCGGGCTCAGCGGAGGACTCGGGCTGGACCTGCAAAAGCCTCTATAATATTATTATATAGAGCACTTCTCCCTGGGAGGGATCCAAAGCATCATTTGTGAAGCTGAATTCTTTTTATAAATCATGGGGCACATGATAGGCTACATTCACTTAGGCTGCATCTTCTGCATCCTTCCTGGAAACTCATCTAATAAGAGCTGGCATCTGGATGTTCAAACCTTGATGTGTTACTGGTTGTTAATTGCTGGCAGTAGATGTGCTTCTTTTCTGCCTTGGAATGTGGAATCCCTTCCTAGAATTGCACTGGGGACTAATAAAAGCCACTGCCAGGTTTAATACATTCTATCTCTCAAATTATCTGGATTAAATACAAGGACTGTGTACTGTTAGAGAGGTGATATTCCCAGTTTAACATTGCTTCTGGGACTTGGAGATCCCAAAACACTGGACCTGAAAATTGTGATTCTCTTTTGTGTGGAGGAGGGGTTTGGCAGGAGTGCTTGGAAGTGGTCATATTTGCCTGAGTTAGAGAATTAATTGCCATAAAAACTATGGGTTTGTAACCAATAGTTACAGCTGCAGGAAAGATCAGAAAGCATCTGAATAAATCAAATTAACTACCTCCTGCTCCATCCATATGAGAGCAGAACCTTCCAGGGCAGGATTTAAACCATAGTCTGGTTGGTCCTTAACTCTCTCATCCACTAATTGAGGAGAGTGAATAATCTAGAAATAGGGTCAACTAAAACAGGACATGGTGGGGACTGCTGTGCTGGGTTGTGGGGGGAGGCTAGTCTCAGTCAGGGGCGGGTAAACCCAGACAGGAGCGATAAGGAGGCAACTGGCTGCTGTGAAAATATCACAGACTCAGAGGCTGTTGGGCCATGTAGTCCAACACCCCTGTTAATGGGCAGACAGTGGTCCCTGTAATTGCTTCACCAGCCCACACCTTGGCTCGATGGGTGCTGGCTGAAGTTGTGATGCCCCAAGGCAGATGGCTGACTTCACCTGCCCCGGTGGTTCGCGTCTCCTTGCTCTGGCTGCTGTTCTCCTCGCCAGCCTTGGGATGATGAAGGGAGTTCCAACGCACCGCTGACCTTCCAGGCTTTGCACTGCTCCGTTGTGTGCCGCCGAGGAACGTCAGCCTTGGGATTCTGCCTCTCGGTTTTGGCCGCTGGTCCCTCAGGCCCCGTGCCGGAGGCTGGCGGAGCCCCGCGCCTTCAGCGGCGGCGGCGCTGGACAGCTCCGGGCGGGCCCCGAGCTCTCCCCGCTGCTCCGGCCGCCCGCTCCGGGCCGGGCCTCGGCCCTCCGCAGCCGCCCTCGTCCCTGATCGCCGGCCGTCCCACCCCGGTTCTTCCCACCGTCCCGTCCCGTCTCTACTCCGGCCGTCCTGTCCTGTCCTTCCTTCCGCCGTCTCTAGTCTGCAGCTCTCGTCTCGTCCCATCTCGTCCCGACCCTCCCCTGGTCTCACCCGCCGCCGCGGCCTACAGTGCCGCATCTCCGTCCATCCTTTTCTCTGCCCGCCCTTCCCCCGTGCCCGCCTCGCTGCCCTGTCTGCCCGGCCGCCCTCGCAGTGTCTGCCCTGCCATGTGCAGCGAGCCGAGGGCAGAGGCAGCCCAGGAGGAGGGACCCGGAGAGAGGTTCACGGGGAGCCCTTCAGGGCAGGAGGATGCATGTGTTGCTGTGGAGGATGGGCCGAGGCTGCCGAGCACAGGCTTTACCGCAGGAGTAATGAGGATAAGGGACCAAATGTTGTCACCTCTCCCAGGGCATGGTGGCACTGTGCTTAGAAGGAACAGCAGCTGTTGGAAGGTGCTTGAAAGCCTGGTGTGCTGGAAGTAAATTCCTCCCTCAGAAAGGCTTCTTTCCCTCCCTACTCCTCCTATCTCCTAACCCGTCCCTAGTGTGAATTTCACTTAAATTTTGTGAGTCTGACATAAGCCTGAGAGAATTCCCAGTCTTCCCTATCTCCCTTCCCAGCAGCCAAGGCCATGGGGTACTTGGGACACATCAGCTTTGAGGACAGGACTGATGCCCAGAGCCATGCTGTGGTTCTGCTCCTGTCCCAGGGCTTTGGACACCTGGAGGAGGGACAAACAGAGCCCTTCCCAAATCTCTCTCTGCTGCCTGGCCTGGAGGGTCTCTGATGGCATGGCCAGGGGAGAGGCAGTGCACCACAAAGGGCTGGGTTAATCGCTCAGCTTGGTGACATCCCACTTTTGTCTCCTCACAGGCCAACCCCGCTCCCATTATCGTGAATACAGACTCGCTGGAACAAGGGCTCTCTGTAAGTCTCCCGGTTTTGTTTTGCTTCCTTTGATCAAGTGCTGCATTTTCCCTGCTCAGCAATGCAGGAAAGACTTTTCCAGATCAAGGAGGCCCTGGTAAGGCAGCAGAAGATCCTTATACCCATGCCATATCCCCACAGCTCATCCCACCCCCAAACCTTTCTGGGGCTGGGTGACACTGCGCAAAACCAAGGCCAGCAGCAGGAGATGCTGGGGACTCCAGCACAGGGAGCTACAAGGCAAAAGGCCTCAGCAGAGCTGGGGATGCCAGATGGTTGTGTTCTGGGTTAATCTGGGTTAATCATACAGCTATTTCCTCTGTTTCCCATGCAGGGGGGTTGAGAGGCTCTGCTGGGGCATCCTTTACCTTCCTGCACTGCCTCAGCTTCCTTAAGGCAGCCCTGGCCACTCAGGAGTGGGACATAGCTCTCTGGGTGCTTGCTGGCATCTCCCTCACCACTCCTCAGGGCAGTAGGGCTCATTGGATGCTGCTCCTCTCCCAGCGAAGGCTGCCAGCAGCTGAGCAGTACTTGGTGATTGTCTTTGCAGCAATGGTGCATTTGGCACTCCTGATGTAGTATAAGATAGCGCTTCTCAGTTTGTCGCAGACAGGGTTTGCATCCTGCTGCATCCATCCCCAGAACATTTGTAACTCATTCCTGTGGGGCACATGAAGGGAGGAGGGTGGCCAGCATGGGTTTCTGGCCAGCAGCACTGGCTCTGTGCTTGTGGGGTGCTTCCCTTTTTTGCCCAAAGGAGCCCAGTTAACAGTTTGCCAGGGCTGAGTGCTTTGCATTGGGTTTACTTCTGATGTATCAAACTTCAGCTGCCTTCCACAGCAGTGAAGCAGTGCCAGGACTCAGAGCTGGGGTGGGTCCATCTTTGGAGTCAGGGTAGTGGGACACAGGTGACTTCTAGGGGTTGAATATCCCCTGTAGAAAACTGCAGATCTCAGCCCACAGCTTGTGGTGGGGTCAGTGCACATCAGAGCTCGACTGGGCTGGTTGAGAAGAGCTACGGAAAAGAAGGAAAACCTGGCTGAGACCTTTCCAACCCTGGCTGTATTGTTTAATTAAGCCTGAATTTAAAGCCACCTGACACTGGGGAGAAAGGCAGTGGTGCATCTCTCAGTGTGGTGATCCTGGGTCCAGCAGCTTTGTATGAAATGTGGGAGAGGGAAGCTGCTGTCCCCAAAGGCTACCTTCCCCAAGTACATGGCATGGCAAAGGGGTTCTGGGTTAGAGGTTCTCTCACTGTGCTGCCCTGACTGCAGGGCAGTGTCATGTTGCAGCTTCCTCTCTGCACTCTCCTGGCTGTTTTACAGGGAAGTGGGAAAAGGGCAATGTCTCCTAGAGGGAAGGGACCACCATTATGCTGGACCAGAGCAAGTGAGAAGTGTGCTGTGAGCAGGGCAGGGCAGGGAGGTATTCCTGATGGAAATTCTACTTTCACATCCATGTGGTACCCTCCCTCAGTACAAAATGTCACACCTTTGGAGGAACATTGCCCACTCATCATTGCAGGCACCATCCTTTGCCACACTCTATCCATGCCCTTCTCTCCTCCTTGTCTGTGGGCCCAAGGGCAATGCAAGGTGAGCCCAGGGGCCAAGGACAGGTTTTGTCACCCTGGGCAGGTTCCTGAGTCCTGCAGAACCAGGAACCTCTGGGAGCCCTCATGCAGGGTAGCAACCACTCCTTCCACTGCAGTGCACTCCACTTTCCTGCCCTCTTGGCTGCTTCCCTGTACTCCTGCTCATTAACTTCACATCCTCCCTCTCCCTCCACTTCCATATCCCTGTGCACCCCTTCTCCCTGCACTTTGGCTGGCTTTCAGGGGGTGCTCTGCACCCCAGACAGATGCCAGCGTCATGCTGGGGGTGACAGTCACTGGTCCCATCCATCCAAACTCGGCAGAACATGCTGGGAGAAACTGTCCTGGAGAGGTCAAAAGGGCCACCAGGTTGTAGCTGTGCTCTGCTGGCTGTGATCTGGTGTGTGTCACCACTGGGTACCCACAGCAGGGGAGACACCTCAGTTTGATTTGTCTCAGCATCCAGCCTGGAAACCCTCTTGCCTTCTACTTCACATTATACGATGAAACAGGCCTTGCTCCATTTTTTCCTTCTCTGGGGTGCTGGATTCCTCAGGCTTCAGAGAAAACAACTCCCAGAAACCTTGACAGTTTCCCAGGTCAGCAAAGGAGCCACACCAGGAGCCTTCTGCAAACACCAAAATACCAAATCTGAAATCATGGGATTTTTTTACAAACCCAAAATCTGAAGTCTTTTGGTACAGTATGTGTTTGGAAGGATTAAAGCCACATCTTCCAGTCTTTAATTACTTAACTATTCATTGCTTTCCTTAATGATAAACAGATGGAAGTAGTCTAGTTCCTTCCTGTTCTAGTTCTATTGATTGCATTGGACTGGCTGTCGGGCTTGATTTGGCCCTGACTGTTAATCAAGAAGTCTGTTCTACATTCCAATGTCCCCATCCACCCACTTCAATCCCCAGGAGCATGTAGCACCAGCAGTGCTCTAAGGTGGGGGCTGCAGCACTGGGGTGGCTGGGGCTCCGTGTGTGGCTTGAGCAGAGCCCAGCACCCCCAGGGTGTAAAAACCCAAATAACCCATTATAAAATGACTGCAGTATTAAAACCAACCCTTGATGAGTTTAAGGGAAGTGCTGGAGGGCATTGCCCATGCTCACAGTTTCACATCTTTTTACCCAGCATGTCCATAATGGGGAGACAGTCAATTGGCACATGAGGTCTCTGCATTTCAGAGCTGTCTCTCTGAAGCTAAAACAACTTCTTGCTGCTAGACAGTTTCAAAATGAACAGGGAAAGTTACTCCAAAGGCCTTGAGGAGTTGAAGGTTTCAGAGTCTGGGTCCTTGGAGCCTAATTTGGTGCCTCATTGACCAGCAGTGAGGTGCAATCACCTTCAGTTGCTCAAAAGCCAGGTGTGAGGAAGACAGGTGTTTCCCAGGCCTGATGTCAGCCAGTGAGTCCCTCACACTTTGGTCCCATGTGCTGGCTGGGACACATCCCAGTGCCAGTTCCTGCAGTGTGGCTGTGGTGTCCTCCCAGCTGCTGCTGGGACTGTCACTCTGCCCAAGCTCAGCAGGTTGGTCGTCACGGCCGTCTGCCAAAAGGCTGACCAGAAATTGGGCATTTATTCACTTTGTGGACAAGACCACCACTGTGGGCACTGCACATGAGGGGGTCAGGGATAGCTGGAAGCGAGTCAGTAGGTCTCAGTGGTGCGGCAGGACGCATGGACGTGGGGAGGTGAACGAAGGCAGCTCTTGACCTATTTTCCCTGGACCCCCTGTCATGTGCAGGCAGGGAGAGCTCTCCCGTGCCAGCACTGGCAGTGCCTGTGCCAGCAGTGGGGGGGGATGTGCCCATTGCACCCGCTGCCCTGGTGGGGCTGTTCCTCTTTCCCTATGCCGAGGCAACTGAGGAGTATTGCCAGGTGCCCTCCACACCCAGGGCTGGCTGGCACAACCAAGGGCTGGCTCTGCAGTCTTCACACCCTCTCCATTATCTCAATAAACAGCTGCTCCACCAGCAGGTCCCAGTGCTCATCCTCATCGCATACTAAGCACAGGATATGGGCAGGATCTTGCTCCAAAAGGGACTGTGAACAGTATTATTCTTCCTGCAGGGTATTTGCTCTTGCAACCTGGTTGTCTATCTTGGTTGCATTTGAGGAACCTGATCTTTGTCTTAGAAATCTGACCTTCTTTTTTTATTTAAAAAACAAGCAAACAAGCAAAACCACAAAAGCAGCCAACCCCCCCCCCCAGCCCAAAAAACCCATCTCAAATCCTTACTCTCCAGCAAATTCCAAGGGGCGTTCCACATGAGCTGACGCAGTGTTGGCCGGCAGAGCCTGCAGACAGCTTGCAGTAGCACTGGAAGGTGTGTGTTCTTCTGTTTATCAGATGAGTGTTAGCTCTGCAGCCTTCTGTTGATGAGCTAAATGCCGTCATCAGTAACTATTTCCCTTCTGCTCAAAAGAGGAGAGGGCCAGTAAAGTCGCCTCTTCCTGAGCCATCAGGTGGACTTGTTGCATGGGAAGGGCCTGGAAAAAAATACCCATATCCTTTTCCATGAGAAACCAGGTGATGCTTAGGATCAGGATATGCTGGGACAGCTAATTGTCCCCTGACACTGCTGTCAGCTCTGCAGGTGTTACACGAGGAGACCGGGGTGTGGTGCATCTTCCCACCCAGGCATCTTCCCACTGGAGATGGCCCCAAACAGGATCTGGGGAAGAGCACAAGGCACTGGCAAAGGACAGGGGGAACAGCCGGCAGCAGAGCCAGGTCCTGGCATCTCTGGTGGGTATCATGGGGAGGTTTTTGCCATCAATGAGTGACTGGTATTTGATTTTCTGAAGCTGGAACGTTCGCTTTGTTGGCTTGTTCCCTTGGTTACGTGGTATATATTGAGTTCTTTATTTGGCTTCCTTATACAATTAACTGGCTTTCCATTGCGTGAATTTTGAAAACATAACCAGAGCTAAAATTTCATGGTCAGGCCTGGCTGACCCCAGCATGCCTAGCCTGTTCAGGCTGCTCCCAACAGACGCCGTGTCAAACAAGCACCTATATGGCCAGTTTTCCAAGAGCGGTGCAGAGCACTGCTCAGCATTAGCAGCCCAGGGATTTGGGGGGCGAGGCTATCCCAGCTCAGCTGCCTGGTAGCACCAGGGTGTGTGACAGGGTCTGTGCTGGGCTCTCGGTGCACTCCGGGTGCCGCTGGCAGCAGCCGCTCCTCGCCAGGCTCATGCTGGCTCTCACCACGGCTCACAGATTGTCACAGTTTTCTGCAGATCCCCATCCTGGAGGGATGTGTACGCTGTTCCTCTGCGGCCGTGGGTGTGCATATGGCTGGCTGTGTGGCAACTGTGTTGAATGCCAAAGCAGAGAGGACAATGTGTGTAGTAGCAAAGGGTGCCAGGAATCTGAATTGCTGGAAGGCCGGGGAGAGGCAACTCTGCACCCCACGCAGCGGGATACTGACTGCAGAGAGGGGATGGGATGGGCTGGAGGCTGTGCTGAGGGAGGCTCTAAGAGTGGCCAGCGAGCCAGCTGCATTTAGGATTAGTCAGTATGGGAAGATGAGAGGAGGGAGAGGTGGCCCAAGCCAGAGGGGGAACCTCTGGCAAGGGAAGCAATGCCCCTCTGCCCATACGAGCACAGCACAGGACAGGACTGTGGCAGAAGGTGGCACTGACCATGTGTCCCTGACCCTCTGAGGCTGGCAGAGATCCTGCTGTGGGTTAATCCCATCACTTCCAGTGGTTTTCTGCTGCAGGATCCTCCTGTAAGAGCTGGCCAAAACCTTTCCCAATGTGCTGATTGGGAGGATCTGAGCATCCTACTGTTGGAGTATTTGGATGTCCCAGCCCTGGGCTGTGCCCTGAAATCTTCCTGTGACTGAGAGGCACCAGGCACAGGGCACATCCAAGGAGGGACAACACATTCAGCCTGTTTCCTGGAGCCTCATTCCCATCTCTTTGCCCAGCCTCATCCTTGAAGTGCAGTACGGGGTGTGGGGTTGCTTTGGCATCCCAGGGCAGAGGATGAGAGTGTGTGTGGCACAGGTGGCACAGTCCTACCCCAGATCCTGTCCTGCAGCACTGCTCCTCTGCCTAGGACCCTGATTGTTGCCACCTAGAAAAACTCCTGTTTCTGCTTCCTACCTATCAATAGAACCTCACCGTTGCCTCACTAGGTTTTCTTCTGTGGTGTCAAATGATGGCTTTAGCATAAATGATGGTTGATGTCCCCTCTGTGGAATGACCCAGCACTCTGGGGGTGTGGAGGATGGCAGAGCTGTGCCTCTGCAGGGGCAGATAGCAAGGAGCTAGGAAAGCAGGACACAGCCAGCATGCTGGTGCCTCATGAGGAGGAGAACTGTGTCCAAACAAATGCATGTCAGCTCCAGTTTGGAATACAGTGTATACAGAAAGTGGCTCCATATGAGCCATCAGTTAATGGTGGATGTAAAATCCAGATGAGGAACTCTGCAGAGTCCAGAGGCCACAGGCAGAGGCAGGACTGCACAGTGAGAAAGGTGTTTGCCTGCTGAGTGCAGGATTCCACTGCCTCTGCCTTGTCATACAGAACTACCCATGTCGCATCCCTTGTTTCCCAGAATGACTCAAATTATGAGGTTGAGTTCAGTCCCCTCCACAATAAAAGGATATAAAGCTGTTAGAAAGCATCCAAAGGAGGCAAAAAGGTAGTGAAGGATCTAGAGGAGACCATATGAGGAAAGGGTGAGGTGACTTGGCTTATTCAGCCTGGAGGAGAGGAGACTGAAGATAGACCTCACTGCACCTCACTATAATCTGCAGCTTCCTTGAGAGGGGGATCAGAGGAGCAGACACTGATCTCTTCTCTCAGGTGCTCAGTGACAGGACCTGGGGGAAGGGCATAAAGCTGTGTCAGGGGAGGTTTAGGTTGGACATTAGGACAAGGTTTTTCATGCAGAGGATGGTGGGGCACTGAACAGGCTCCCCAGGAACTGGTCATGGCCCCAAAGCTGCCAGAGCTCCAGGAGCACTTGGACAACACTCTCAGGCACATGGTGGGATTGCTGGGGGGACTGTGCAGGGCCAGCAGTTGGATTCCATGACCCTTTGAGCTCCCTTCCAACTCAGTTTTCTTTGAAAATATTACTGTTAAGTGTTGGATGTTTCAGTACCAAATTGCATTGCAAATCTTGCTAAATTTTAGACCTTGGCAGCTGTTTGTGGCCTGATCCTGTTGATCTGGAGTGAAACTGCTACATTTTTCCTGTGCAGTGTCAATTATGTGGAGAATGGATTTTTTTTTTTTTTTTTTGAGTCTACATTTACCGTTTTACAGCCTACAATTGCATCCCTTTTTGTTTCTATTCATTAATGTTTCCCAGAGCTCTGCTTTGATACTTTGGGTATGGGAGACTTCTAACCATGGGGATCAGTGTGGTGTACAGCACTGAGACAGGCTACACCATTTTTATACATAAGGGCACCACAATATTTTCACCTCTTACTGTGCCCCGCTCTCTCACACCTTGTTTCCTTTGTACCCAATTAATTCCATAGAATAAATTATCCTGAATTTCCTGTTAATACCATCATGCTACGAAAAGATTTTAAAAATATAAGCTGCTAAAGGTGTTTATTATGTTATTATGTACAGATTTTGTTTTTCCTTTAAATGGACCGACCCCCTCTCTTCCCTTCCTCAAGCAGTGAATTCCTGAGGTTAAGTATATGCTGTGTAACAAAGGTGTTATTTCTTTTTGTGCCTTCGGTTGTGTTCCTTTTCATGGCTGGAGAAATGAGCTGGGAGAATAAAGGCTTTGCACAGAAGTGCATTAAAGTCAGTGGGCTTTGGCTTATGCCCAGAGAGAAAAGCAGCACATGGTTTAATTCCAGGGCAGGCTCAAGCAGTTGCATTTAAGGTTTTTTCAGTGGTGATGGTGCAGCTTTTAGGTTGGATTCTTCATGTTCAGCTACCAGAGAGGAAAAGCAAATTCCCCCAGGACCAGCAGAGAGTTGTAACACACTGTCTCCCTCTCTCCAGATGAATGGCAGTGATGGGATATTCAAATATGAAGAGATCATCTTGGAAAGGGTAAGTACTGCTCACTCACCCACCAGCAGCCTCCTCCCACTCACCCACCACCCAGCACAGCTGGCCCCCCACGCATCCCTGCACAGCTGATGGGGATCTCTGGGCTCTGCTCCCTGCTCTCTCTGGAGGCTTTCACAGGTGTTGCACCTGCTTTGCCAGCCTGGCTCCCACCAGGGTGGGCTTGCTGCTCCCCTCTCCCCCTGCACACCTCGCCAGAAGGGAGGGAGGAGGGCTTCTCCCTTGCCTCCCTCTTTCACACCCTCACCCCCACAAACTCATCAATGCAGAGCATGGGGGGAGGCTCTTTGTCATTGCCTTTGTCAGAAAACAGAGGTGTGGGGAGCTCTGCTTGTGTAGACACGGGTGGGCACAGGGACAAAAGGCACCCTGCCACCAGGCTCACCATCACTCTAGGGCATGCAGCCTTGAGATGCTAAGCTGCAAGAACAGATATAGTAAAACAGCCACAGTGAAGGAAGTTCCTGCTCAAGCCTTTTCTTTGTTGGCAACACAGAGGTGATGGCATGCACCACGCCAGCCGTGGCTAGAATTAGCTCCCACCATGTGTGGGGTTTATCCAGGGGCAAGCCAGCACCACACAGGGCACGAAGGGCTTTCTTGTTGCCCAGGAAACAGCAGGGGAGGAGGGATGGAGAGGGAGCAGGGAAAGCTGGCCCAGGGTTTACTCTGGGAGACAGGCACAGCCCTGCTGGCTGGGAATGGCTGTGGTGGGAGGCTGCCCGCGGCTCTCCACAGCACACCTTGCCTCCCCCTCGCTGCCATGCCAGGCGGCTCAGCCTCGCTGCATGGCCAGCATTGCAGGGGAAGACGCTCATTATTCTGTTCCTCTCTGCCTTTAGTCATCTCCCTCCTTCCCTTGGCTCTGCATCACAGAGGTGGGTGGACAGAAGGTTATCTGGGGCTGCCGCCTCACCCACTGCTTCCCCGGCGTGCCTGATGAAGCCAGCCCAGAGGTTCCTTCCTTTTTGGGCTAAGTGCTTCTTGCTCTGGACCCAAGTCACAGGCAAAAGCCTTGTCTCAGGGATTCAGAGCATCCTCTGTCCTCAGCCCATAGTGGGAACAGGGAAAGAGCTGGCAGAACCACACAGAGAGGAAACACTCATTGATGCCCTCATTTCAAAGCCCCAAGAAGCAATTCATTCTCCAACAGCAAGAAACCATGAGGGAATCTCACTGCTTAGCAGCCTGGGCTAGCATGGACCATGCCCAGGTCCTTCCCCTTCACCGAGTCCCTGGTGGGATCCAACAATCCTGTCTTAATGCAGGAGAAGCACCCTGATGCCTGCAGGTGAGGCTGTCCCCTTGCTGGGGTGTTTGGCTTCTAGAATTGCCCTCAGTGTACCCCAAAATCACTGGTCAGTTATTGTCGTTAATCCTTGTCTTTGTTGTAAGGACGAGTGTAAATTCAGCAGCATTTTGGGGGCAATAATAGCAGAAATACAATCTGCAGAAGGACATGGCTTTGTGTTTACCCACCACACGTTTCTACAGCAGGAACTGCCCTGGCATCAGGGCATCAACCCTGATGTCAGCTAAAAAATCCCTTAAACTCCTTTTTGAGGTTTATCAGAATAAAACTTAACACCTCCCAGATAATTTCCAGGCTTTATAGCTAACCGAGGACCTTCCATAGGCTGGCACAACTAATGGCTGGCGATTGTTTTGCAATCTCACCTGTCTTGCTGCAACCAGGCTTGGTCTCTGTGACAGTAAAGAGCTTTTTTGAGCTAGGCACAGGGTAATCAGAACACAGCATAGAGGAAGCAGCCTCGACCCTTTACTGTTGAATGCCTCTGTGTCACATGCCAGCCAAATCGCAGCTGGCCAGAGAGCATCTGGGAGCGCTGCACAGCGACAGGCATTGGTGGCTTCTGGTGCTGTGTCACAAGCATCATAAAGCCAGCTCTGCATCGCTGCAGGAGCTAATGCTGGGGCAAAATTGCTGGGGAGAAGTGCAAGCCCAAGCTGGCTGTTAAATTATGGCTAAATTATTCTGGGGAGACAGAGTTCCAGTGTGGCCCTCTGAGCCACAGGTCCCCTGGAAGAGCAGAGCACCCCCTCATCTCCCACTGAGCACTGGGGCCATGGGCAGCCAGGAGAGCTTGGACTGAGCCCACTTGTGTACAAGAGAGGCAGGCACAGGGTGACTAAGTGTCAGTTCTTCCACATGAGGAAACAAGGCAAGAAGCCATCTGATTTTCAAGGCAGAGCAAAAAAGGCAGGAATTGTCCACTTGCATCAAGCATGGATCTGGAAGCAGCGCCTGTGAGTGTGTCACTAACGAGGATCCTGCAAGTGGGAGAGGCAGCACAGGGCCACAGCCACTCAATCCTGAGATGCTGGGGGAATGGCCTGGAGGTGAGCTGTGGTCCCTGCATTCCCTCCAGGCATAATTTGGCAGGAGATGCTCAAGTGATGCTCCAAGTATGTCTGTGAGGAAAAGGAGACAGAACTGGAGAGCCCACTCCATCCTGATAGCCACTTCCACACAAACCTGTAAATTTTGTCATCAGTATTGCTGGTCCCCAGCTGGGATTTGTGCCAGGGCTACATCCCAGGGTGCAGAGGGGCAGGAGTAGGATGCTGGTGACTGGCACAATCCCCGCTGGTCTGCGCAGGCTGCGGCATCGGTGTCTCCTCCTGGGGAGCAGCCAGCAAGGGGAGGTTTTCTCTGCCAAGGACCACCTCCTCTTCCCCCAGCTCCCCGCCTGCCTGAGTCTCTCCGTGGAGACGCGGTGATGAGGGAGGTCCTCGGCGGCTCCCACTCTCCCCTCCATCTGTTCAGTGCTCCACACTGCTGTGCCGAGCACTCATCAGCCTCTCCTCCGGCCAGCATCCCTCTGCCCCCTGAGCCAGGCACCCCGGTGTGTGATAGATGCTGTAAGGGCTCCTGTGCCCCAGGCAGTCCCATGGCTGGAGGCAACCATTTAAGAAGGGCTGGCAGCAAGCAGTTGCCCGTGGGGGAAAGACGCAGTGTTTGATTTCCCACAGGGTAACTCTGGCCTCGGCTTCAGCATAGCAGGAGGCATCGACAACCCCCATGTTCCAGATGACCCGGGTATCTTCATCACCAAGATCATCCCCGGGGGAGCAGCAGCCATGGATGGCCGTCTAGGGTAAGTACAGGGCTGGGGTAACAGCCAGGGTGTCACCCACGATCTCTGCATGGGCCTTCTAGACCTAGCCCTTTTTTCCAACATGGTCCCTGGCCTCCATATGTCTCTTTCCCACAGCCAGATCCCCTCAGGACAGGGTTGTCCACCATCGTTGGCCACCAGCCTCCTGTCTGTAGCCACCCATCCTCCCCTCCCTGTGTCAGGCTCCTGCTCCCACCCATCACGCTACAGGCCAAGGCAGGGATCCAGGCTTCCTTCTCATCTCCCACCTCCATCAGGGTTGCACTATAGGGACCAGCTCCGCTCTCCCCTGCTTTGGGATGGACCCCTTTCTCACCCCAGCAGGGCGTGATCTGGCCAGCTTGAGCAACTCTCATTTGTGTGGCTGGAGGAGGGTGGCAGAGGGTGACCAGAGGAGGGTGGCATGGGCTGGTAGTTCCCCAGGGATGCTCAGGGCCATCCTGTGCCCACAGGGTGAACGACTGCGTGCTGCGGGTGAACGACGTGGACGTCTCTGAGGTTGTGCACAGCAAAGCTGTGGAAGCCCTGAAGGAAGCAGGCCCTGTGGTGCGGCTTGTGGTGCGCCGCCGGCAGCCCCCGCCAGAGACCATCATGGAGGTTAACCTGATGAAGGGCCCCAAAGGTGAACCCCTCACTCTGCTCACTTGGCCAGGGTGCCCCACTGCCCCACAGAACAGTGTGGGGTGACCCCTCAGTGTAAGATATCATGAGATGCAGGGCAGCCTCATAGGGGATGCAAGGTGGCAGCGCTGCAGTGCAGGATGCTGCAGGATGGCCGAGCAGCCTGGAATGCTGTGGGGCATGGGGCATGGGACAGACCCACGATGCTGTGCACGGTGGCCAGGCTGGCCCCAGGCAGCACTGTGGTGGCCCATTGCCTGCTGGATTTGGTCAGGGTGTGAAGGCCCAGTGAGGCACAGGGGCTGTAGTGCCAGCCCAGGACTCTGTCTGTCTGTCCCTCACTTGCATTCTCACCCTCCCTCAGGCCTGGGATTCAGCATTGCAGGGGGCATCGGGAACCAGCACATCCCTGGGGACAACAGCATCTACATCACCAAGATCATCGAGGGAGGTGCTGCCCAAAAGGACGGGCGCCTGCAGATTGGAGACCGGCTGCTTGCGGTAAGCCCCACGGCCACTGTGAGGTGAAGCTGAACAGGTTCCACTGTGATGCAGTGTTGATCCTGAACCCCAGCACCCATCCTGTCAGCAGCTTCACCCCTCTTCCCTGGGACCCCAGCTGGGATGTTGCTGTGGGAGGGCAGGCACAGTAATGGCTGCAGGCAGGAGAGCCAAACCCAAGGTGATGGGACCATGCCTCTGGAGCTACTGTGGCACCTCCCCTATGGAAAACCACTCCTGAGGGGCTGCCCTGATCCCTGCTCTCCTGCTCAGCCAGCACTTTCCCTCTGGCAGGTGAATAACACAAACCTGCAGGACGTGCGGCACGAGGAGGCAGTGGCTGCCCTGAAGAACACCTCTGACATGGTGTACCTGAAAGTGGCCAAGCCCGGCAACATCCACCTCAACGACATGTACGCGCCCCCCGACTACGCCAGCAGTACGTACACCGCTGGCCACTGGCTGGGCACATGGGGCTTGGGGCACCTGAGCGTGTTGGGTTGGGGAGCAGGGCTGGGCTGGTCTCCAGGTCCTCATTGTGTATGGGTTTCTGCTCCTGATGACCTTCTCCTCCCCTGCAGCCTTCTCAGCCTTGGCTGACAGCCACATAAGCCATAACTCCAGTCTGGGCTACCTGGGCAGCGTTGAGAGCAAGCCTGCCTATCCCATCCCTCCCCAGGTGACTCCGTCCCGGTACTCGCCTGTCCCTCGGCATATGATTGGAGATGATGACTTCACCAGGTGAGTACCAGGCAGGAGCATCCCTGTCATGCTCCTTCTCATTCCCTCATTTTCCTCTGTGGTGGCTTGATGTCATCCCCACTGCCAGTGCAGAGCCTTGAAAAGCCATTTGTAGGTGCGTGATGCAATGCCTGAGATCTCTATAATGAGCTCTGTGCTCACCCCCCTGAGACCAGCCCTGCTGTGTCAATCACTGGCTTGCTGCAGTCACTCCCTCTCCATTCCCTCTCCTACTCTTTCACAAGCCTTACACAACTGCATTTCAGCTTCAATCTCTTGCTTATTTTATAATACCTGGAATACAAGGTGTTCCCCACTCTTATGGAGCCATCCAGCAGTGCCACAGCCTCCCAGGATGTTCCCAGGTGGAGCTGTGCCAGGTGTGGAGGATAGGAGCATAGCCTTGCAAACAAGTGGGGGCCCTGCCATGCTCACTGAGACTGGCATCCCAAACCACCTGCACTCAGGTATAATTCCAGTGACTGCCAGCCCCTGGCCTGACAGCCTCCTGTCCAGCCCCCTTTGCCCCAGTGGAATCTTTTATGCTGCATGAGCAGGTTTGTTTCCTGAAGCAAGGAAATAAAGAGAGCACAAAGAAAACATTGCTCTGAGCCTAAATGCAGTATAAAACCTCTCCAAAGCCTCAAGCTGAGGATGGGAGAGAGAGACCTGGAAAGTCCTGCTCTACTAGCTGATTCTTACGGCTTACCCGCTTCTTGTCACAGCCTTGAGGCCAGTGCTCTGAATGTGCTATTCCCAGGGCCAGGACTGTAGGGCTTAGGCTGATTAATAAGGACCAGCACCCGACTTAGGCTTAGGGCCAGCTCTGCAGTTTGGAACAAGGTCACAGGCAGGTTTTAGGAGTGTGCCTACAGTGGAAGATGCAGGAGTTTTGTCCAGGAATCTCCCATTCTGCAGGTGAGCGGTGGATGCTGGAGTGGGAGACCCTGACTTGCCATCTGCTGTCAGGTCTGCCATCCTCCTGAAGAGTGTCTGCACTCATCTTTGTCACAGGCCTGTCTCACTTCTTGGTGCTCAGCCACAGCTGGGTGTCCCTGCACACCATGACCAGTGCAGCACTGTCTTCCACCCTCACCCAGCTCTCCCACTGGTCTTGGCACCATCAATGCCAGTTCTAGAGTGTGTTTCTGGCACTGCATCCTCAGCAGGTGTAGCAACTTCTGTGCTGTCAGGGCACAGGGAAATGATGCCACAGGCAGGAGTAGTGCTGGCTGCCATTACAGTGCGCCACAGAAGGGACTGTGTCACAATATTTGGAAAACACACCAGAGACCCTGGTCCCAGCAGGGTGTCCCTTCTCGCACGTGCCAACATTCCCATTTAGAGAGCAGAAAGAGCAACCCAGCTTAGGCTTAACCAGTGGCAATGGCACAATGAGGGCTCAGTAGTGGCTTTTCAGTGGCAGTGGCATAGCGATGGCCCAGCAGTGGCTTGCCAGTGCCAGTGACACAGTGGTGGCTTGGCAGGGGTTCAGTGGGCGCTTGACAGTGGCCGTGGCACAGCGATGACTCGGCAGTGGCCCTGATGCAGCACTTGCTGGTGGCCACTAGAGGATGGTGCTGCCTTATGGAGAGCCCCACTGCAGACAGGCTGGCACCACTGGGCCAGTGTGCCCAGACACAACCCCCTGCTACCCAACAGATCCACAGCCTGCAGTGGGCTCAGCACTTGGCTCGTGCTTCCCAGGACAGTGCTGAAAGCCTCCTGTGCATTGCTGACCCCCCAGGACAGCTCCATCGCTGCAGGTCTGTTGGCACCAAGATAGTGCACTGGGACCAGTATGGTCCAAATGCAACTCACTGGTGTGGGGAAAGGCAGCAGCTGCCCTGAAAAAGAAGCTGTCTCCCACGAGGCTCTTGCCAGCCATTCCTTAGGAAAAGCAGAGGTCCAGTATCCAGCCTCTCCCCCTCCAATGGGCACAACTGCTGCTTAGATGTGGACGTAGCTCCAGTGACCCTCGTTCTGCAGCACCTAGGGCTGCACAGCACCTAGGGAACCAAAGAATCTGTTTTCCAGTGAGCTCCACCACAGCAACCCAGACCCAGCACAGCCCCACAGGATCCCCTCAGCTGCTCTGTGCCAAGGTCCCAGTGTTAACACTGTGACATTCAGCATGGGATCGGTCTGGATGATCTGTGTCATGCCTCCTGTGAGGAGGATGGAAGTCAAGAATGCACATCAGGACTGAGACCTGTGATGTACCTGTCTGGGGCTTCATTTCCTCCCCTCATTCTTGTAAGGTCTCTTTACCTTCCACCAAATTGTCTGGTCCTCACAGGTGCTGGGGATGCTTCCCCCTACACTAAGCTGAGGTTGTGCTTCCTGCACACTGCTTGGGCAGCAGCAAAACCCAAGGGGCAGAGCAACTTCATGTCCTGGTTGGAGGCAGGGTTTGCAGACCCAGAAACCTGACCTATTTCTTCCCCTAGGAGAACTGTAGCCTGAGGCACAGGTTTGCTGCTGAGGGACTGATAGCTGCAGCCCTCCCTGCCCTCTCACAACTGCACCTAAGCCAAGCACTGGTAACATGTTAAGGACTTGGGGGGGATCATCTTTTGACGGAGCATCTCCATGGTTTTCCTGATCTCCTGGATCTGGTATGTTCCAGCCCCTGCAACCCTAGTGCCCCAGGGTTCTCTCAGCACAAGTCTGCCAGCATTTTAGGGTGCCCTCACTCAGTGCCATGGGCTCCAGCATCTCTCCTAACATAACCCAGAGATTTCCCTCAGATACCTGGCAGGTGAGTGGTTGATGAGGCTGCTGAGCTCAATGTCAGGCCTTTGGTCCTTGTGGTACCTGAGGAAGTGCCCAAGATCCAACCACAGCGGATGCACTGATGGTCTCCAGTATCATGTTGGCTTACAATCACCACCAGCCTGTGCTAATTGTCTGGTATAATTTATTCCTTATTTCAGTCCAGAGCTTGATCTGGGAGCTGCCGTTATTCCCATTGCATTGTTTTTTTCTCCTAGACAAAAAGTGATGCGGGAGTTTTGCGATGCCAGGCTGTCTTTCTGCTTTTGCCTGCCTTTTGTTTGAGCTGTGACAGAATTAAGTAATCAAAAAATGTATTACTTCTGTTGAGCTGTGAAGAGTCTGTGGCACTGGAGGGGTGCATGGGGTTGTAGGCACACTTGCCATGCTGTGGAGGGGCTTGATCCCACCCTCCTGGCTCATGGCATCTGATGCTACCCTGCAGTTCAGTGTTTCTGTGTGTCATTTCACTGTGGATGCTCTGTCTCTGTCCGTGTTGTGTTTCATGTCACACCGCCTGCCACCTCTTCTGGTTTATGAGTCTCCACAGTGCTGAGGACTGAGTCACACCAGGCTGCACTCAGGTGACTCCAGCCCCACCAATGTGCCACAAACCCTGGGCACAGAAAAGCCTGTCATCAGCTTTGCTGCTCCTCATCCTGATGTCTCCCTGTCCATTATGTGTTCTTCCAGGGAGCCCCGGAAAATCATCCTGCACAAAGGCTCCACCGGCCTGGGCTTCAACATTGTTGGAGGGGAAGATGGTGAGGGGATCTTTGTGTCCTTCATCCTGGCTGGAGGCCCTGCTGACCTCAGTGGGGAGCTGCGGAGAGGAGACCGTATCCTTTCGGTGAGTTGGTGGGGCACCCACTGCCCCTTCATGGCCTCCCACAGCCCCGGGTGGGCACCTGTTCCCTACCACCCGAAGCACGGTTCTGTGGGATTCATACCGGGTGCCAGTGTGTTGGCACATCCCCGGGGTGCCTGTGGTGGGGGCAGCCCTGATGCCTGGGCTGGCCGAGGGCAGGTACTGGGGATGCCGGTACTGGGAGTGCCGGTACCAGGCGTGGTACTGGGGGTGCAGTGGCAGAGTGATGAGGCTCTGAGAGTGTGGGTACCGTGGATACCGTGGGTACCGGTACAGAGGCGGGGCAGCGGGGCCGAGGCGCAGGGCAGACCCCCGTGGTTCGTGCCCGTATGGGTCTGGTTCAGCGGAGCCGCTCTGTCCCGTCAGGTGAACGGCGTGAATCTTCGCAACGCCACCCACGAGCAGGCGGCGGCGGCGCTGAAGCGGGCGGGACAGACGGTGACCATCATCGCGCAGTACCGGCCCGAAGGTACCGTCACGGGCGACCGGGACCGGGACCGGGACGGGAACGGGGACGAGGCGAGCGGGGCATGCAGACGAGGGTCTGTGATATGCAGACGAGGGTCTGTGATATGCAGATGAGGGTCAGTGATATGCAGATGAGGGTCAGTGATATGCAGATAAGTCTGTGATATGCAGATGAGGTCTGTGATATGCAGATGAGGGGCGGGGCACGGCTGGCGCGCTGTCGAGGGCCGGGGCGGGGGACCGCGGGCGAGGCGCCGCCGGGGGCGGGGCCCGGGGCGGGGCCGCGGCGTCCCGCCGGCCGTGCCTGCGCGGCTTTGTGTGCGGCCGGGCGGGTGCGGGGCCGCGGCCGCCCCGCCTGCAGGTGAGCGGTCACTGCCGCGCGGGCAGCCCCGCCGGGACCCCCCGGTAGCGGGGCCGCGAGGGGGCTCGACGGGCCGGGGTCGTCTTCGGGGGAGGGGGAAGAGCTCTGCTTGCCGGAGGGCGTCGCCGCGAGGCCCGGCTCCGTGGGGTCTCGCGGGCCTTGCGGGAGGGACCCCGTGGTCAGGAGAGCTAAGGGGTCCTGGAGGGCAGCCACGGTGCGGGTGGGGCTGGAACCGGCGCGTCGCTGCTGAGTTGGAGTTCGTCCTCACCTCTGAGCATCCCGCCTGGGGCGCCGCTCCGAGCACTCGCTGTCGCTGGGTTCCGGTTCCCTCGCAGCGGCCGGGGCCGGTGGTCGCGCTGAGGGTAGGGAAGGGAGCGGGCAGCTGCCTGCGCACAGCTCCCCTGGGCGGTAGCGCTGGAGCGAGGCCCCTGGGCTGGGAAGGTGCCCTGCCGGCCAGCGAGGGGCCGGGGGTGATCCCGGGCCTGCGGCCGTGCCCAGGGCGACACCGTGCACTTGCTGGGATGAGCCGTTCCCATCCGCTGGAAAACGTGTCTCTCCTGGGCCCCAGTGGTTTTCTCCCCCAGCTATTCTAGTCCTCTCCAAGGAGGCCAGTGTCCCCCCCTAGGCATGCCCTTCATCTTATGCCTCCTCTGTGGCATTGCTGGGCGATGTCCTGCTGGTCCCTGTGTCCACTGTTCCTCCATCTCGTGGCAGAGGCCACTGGGGTGTGAAGTCATTGGTGCTGCTCAGGGCTGTGCTGTGGGTGTGGGGTTTGTTTGTTTTGGCTTGTTTTTGGTTTTTTTTTTTTTTACTTTCTTTCCAGGAATAGTTTAATGTTCCTGTATTTCTGGCTCCCTTTGCCACTTGAGATTTGGCAAAGACACCAACCAAGAGTGGTTAAATGTCAAACTGGACAAGATGTTTTGAAACCCCCTTAGACTGAGGCGGAAATGTCAGTGTGTTGTAGCTGGTGACTTTCCATGTCCCTGGCACAGGGGCTGCAGCCATCTCAGGTGGCAGTGTTGTGGCTGTGGAGTACAGGCTGTTGTAACTTGGAAGTTGCCCTCAGCGCTCCAGAGGCTTGAAGGGCTGGGAATTACAGAGAAAGATCTCCCTGGTGTGAGCCCCCAGTGTGGGTGAGGCTGGACCCACTCAATGGGCCATGTACTCTCAAATGTTTGCCTTTTCTATGTTTGTCATGTGGAAAGAGCAGGAGAGCTGGATTTAGGATGCCAAAGGAGGACATGCTGGTGGGAAAGAGAATTTGAGAAGTTCTTCCCCACTAGCAGAGGCAGAGGATGGCACCTGTCTCTCATATCTGAGCGTGGGCAGGGCTTGCCTTGGGGTACCGGGTGAGCGCAATGTCTGACCTTGCTGGGGCTCCAAGGTGGAAGAGAGGCTGCTTGTGCACGTCTCAAGGGATGAGGGGCCCTTCCTGTTTTGTCCTGCCAGACACTAGGAGGGAAAAGAAGCAAAGACCAAACCAAGAAAGGTTAGAAAGAGGAGCTTCTGTCCTGCCTTTCTTCTGAGCACCAGCACCTTTGACCACTGCTGCCTGCTGTCGAGGAGGGGGAGTGATGGTTCCTTGGCATTTTTGTGAGGGCCATTCCCTCCAAGCACTTCTTCCCCTGACCTTTGCCTGCTGCTATCATCTGGATTTAGCAATTCCGCCTTCTCACACGCCATCCAACACAGCTTTGACATTCCTCACCTAAAAATACAGAAAGTTGCATTATGGCCTTTCTCTGAGTCAGTCTGTCCAAAGGGGAGTTCCAGGGCTGTGCAATGAGTTCTAAAAGCTTCTGAGCTTTCCCTATGGCTGTGCTTCCTTCTGCTTCCAAGGCCTGTGGAGGAGTCTGTGCAGAGGGAAGGTATCTAGGGCCAGGGTGCTAAAATGCCAGGCTGAAGCTGTTGGTAGTTTTGTAAGTGGCTGGGCTGAAACTTGTGACTGAGCATGGCTGGGCTCTGCTGGTGGCCCAGCCTGGGCCTGGGCAGAAGTGTTTGGGTACCGGGCTTTATGTGTACTCATTGTTTCTTTCCAGTGTAGCTCCCCTGACTGCCAACGTCTTTCCTTTGTGCTGTCTCCTGGTGCCCAGGTGCAGACCCACGGCTCTGTTGGCCTGCTGGGTGTGTTTGCAGGTGTGTCACACATGCGTGCTGGCTCTGGGATCCTTGGGGCAGGCAGGTGATCCCTGCCCGTTGATAGTGGTCTACAGCATGTGTACACTCAGGGATTACACTCATGGCATGGAGCTCACCCCAGGGGACAGAATCAGGCCCAGCTCTAGGAACACCCACACCCTGGAAAAGGAAAAGCAGTGCAAGGGTACAGTGGTGTTTTTATTGAGCTGCTGAGTGAGAAGAGCAAACATCCTGGCACACAGCGCAATGGCACTCACACCAAGAGGTGCTGGCTCACCTGTTACATACTTTTCAGTCTTGATAAGCATGTCCTGAACATGTTGAACACTGTGAGGATCAGCCCTGGCTCACCTCCCCGCTGCTGCACCCTGGGCAAGCTTCCTGGGAGAGTTTCAGCTGCACAGGAGGTCTTCCAGAGTTAAGGTACAGAGCTGAGGTGGCCCTAAGTTAGGGAGCAAAGACAGGAGCACTCCTTGCTGGGGGTGATCTGCTGGTAATTGTCTTAGACTGTTCTAATGTGCAGTTAAAAGTGTGCACATGGCACCTGGGAGTACCCTGTGCTCAGTCCTGGGGTAACCTCGTCTCCCCTGCTCTGGGAGGGAGGCAGTGGGGCTTTGGGGCTAGCTGCTCCTCTACTTTCTGCCCTCCCACAGCTGCAGCAAATCTGGGTTGGTGACTCCTTGGAATTCCCTTCCTAGGACAAGATTGTGTTTGCTCTCTGGGAGTTAAAGCCAGAGCAGCCCCTGTGTCCCTCAGTTTGCTGCAGCCAGCATGGTTTGTGCTTCTTGTCATCTTAGTGGGCTTTTCCCACCCCTCCAAGCAGCATGGCCACTCCAACAAAACTAGGAAAGGCTCTTTCCGTTAAATGCCCTAGCTGAAATGGGGGAATTTGATTACTTTGCCCCTGGGCTGCTTGCAGGGGAGTGCATAAGCCATTTCTGACAGGGCAGTGGCATCCACAAGTTCCACTTCCAATATCCCCACCCTGATGCTAGGGGTGGAGAAATCTCCTTTTGCCCTATGTTTCCCATCCAATCCCAGGCAATGCATCCTCTACACTTCTTGTGGAAAAGAGTGTTGCAGGAGGAGTGAGTCTGTGTAGCAGGAGCAGTGGTCTCCTCAGTGTGGGGTGAGCAGGGAATCTGTGCCCCAGCAGGGTTTGCCATGACCTAGCTGGGTACAAGGGCTGTAGTGGTGCTTTCTGGGGGAAACAGCCCTTCTGTACCAAAGAGGGTTTATGAAGAAGCTGTACCCGCTTCTGACAAATGCTCCTCTGGGATTCAAGAGCTTATGGGTATTCCAGGGAGAATGAGCTGTGTGGGTCAAGAGATGTGGAATGAGGTGAAGCTCATTTCCATCTGCTGAGAGCTCCGTAAAACCCTGCTGCTGCTTCAGTGGCAGAATTCAGTTTTCTTGTAAAATAAGTGTTGTCCATGCCTTCCTGCATCTGTGTTTCCCTCTGCCAGCAGGAAGGTAGGTGAGGCAGTGGGTGCCCCTTGGCATGGGGCAGTCAGGGGTTCTCATGGTTTCCACATTAGGCAACTGGCCCTGCCTGGTGTTGTACAACAGGAGAAGGGGCTTTGCATGGAGTTTTCTGGGAGCCACTTGGCAGTTTTTTTGTCTATTGCTTTTTTTTCCCAGTCCTTAAGTCCTTAATGTATCTTTGGCAACTGGGTGTAGCAGGGGGATACCCAGGCTGTAGGGCTGGAGAGTCAGGAAATGCTGAGCTGCAGCTGCATCATCCCACAACCCCAGCCCTGCTTTTGTCTGCACTGACAATCCATGGGAGAGGGGCTGGCTCCAAAACAAAGCCTACAGAACATTTCAAACAGTGTTACTGCTCCCCCCATGTAATGTGGCTCCGCAGGCCCAGCACAGCTGTCCTCTGCTCTGCAGCAAGCACTTGCCTCCACAGCTGAGCTGCTATGCTCCCCTCCCCAGAATTAAAACCCAAGCCACATTTAAACCACTATGTCGTGGACAGGACTTTCTAGGCAAGTCTTAAAGCACAGATGAGCCTGGTCTTCTCTCACCTGTAACTGCAGGATGTGCCCAAGGGACAAAATCAAGGAAGTGAGGCAAGATCTGGCAGTGTGGGCTGTGCCAGCAGCTTTCCTGGAGCTGCAGTTGCACTTTCCTCATTCGGCCCTGGGTAGGGAGGCCAGGTGCCTCCACCCTCTGCATGTCAGCCTGACCTTTACTCCCGGCTGAAGGTCGGGCTGGTGGCAGCTGCTCCTGCCCAGCTGTCTGGTAGGAAGGTGCTGGTGTCTTCTGGAAGGTACCCCAGCTCTTCGTGCACATCTCTGCCACTGGGATGTAGAAGCAAAAGGTGAATTCCTCCTCCCTGCTCCTGTTCCAAGGGCAGGGACTTTGTGTTTTGCCTTGCTTTCCCCATTCCTGCTGAGGATAAGATCTTTGCTGCCAACAAAGCGGTAGCTTGGGACTCCCCCAGTGGCTGCAGTCGTGTCTCGCTGCTCCAGCTGGTGAGCAGTGATCTCCTGGTGGGGCTTTTGCTCTCTCTTCATGTTTTGAACTGCTCTGTAGGTCAGCAGCTTGCCAGGTCCTGCACAGCCTTTCCCTCAAGGAGCTGCAGCTCAGCAGTAGTGGAGGTCACAGCAGCCATTGCCTGAGCTGCTGTGTGGGAAGTTGTGGTGGGGTTGGGAGCAGCTGGAACCCTGCCTGCTCCAGATGCCCTGCCTGAACTCCTGCAGAGTTCTGTAACCTCTTCAGCTTTGTTGTCCCTCATGTGCAGGGACAGACAGGCTCGTGGCAAGATGCCTTGTGGGCAGGCCTGGCTGGGCGTGGGGATCAGCCCAGGGGCAGCTGTGCCTGCATTGACCAGCCCTGTCCCCACAGAGTACAGCCGCTTCGAGTCCAAGATCCACGACCTGCGGGAGCAGATGATGAACAGCAGCATGAGCTCCGGCTCCGGCTCGCTCCGGACAAGCGAGAAGAGGTCGCTCTATGTCCGGTAAGGATGGGATGGGCGCGTCCCCGCCGCGCAGGGTGTAGGGGTGCTTGCGGCTCAGCCTGGGCTCTGCGGTGCCTCAGGGGACAGCGTGGCAGGGGCCTGGGGAGTCAGTGCTGTGGGTGCATCACAAGGCCTGGAAGGTGCAGCAGGGAGAGCGGGGCTTGTGCACTGGTTTGGCAAGGCTGGGTGCTCAAATGCCTCTCCCAAGGACTGTTTCTCAGTTTGGAAAACAGTGGTGTCTACAGAGCCTGGGTGGCTGCTGGCCAGCACACTGAGGACCACTGGAAAACAGGGAAATGGTGGACATCCAGCCCTGCTTCTGCCCCAGGCAGGTCGTGGCAGCTTTCAGGGCACTCTCCTCAAGCCAGCCAACAGGCTTCTCCTTGTCTAGTCCTGCCATTCCTGTGTCAGGATCTGGCTGGATGGGAGATGAGCTCTTAGGAGGATTATTGCTCTGAGCCCTCAGAGCACTTTTGGTCTGGAGCCAGGTGCAGGACTGGCAGGCAGGGGTTAAACAGCCATGCAGCTCAAACTGCTGCAAGTCCTGTGCGGACAGGACAATCCCTGCCTGCCTCCTGCCACCTCCTGCCTGCCGCAGCACCTGTGGGATGAGCGCTAATGAATAATTTTAACTTGGTAATTAAAATAATCCTGTAAATCCTAACCCTGAACAGCCTGTTGCAGGTGAGGCTGACAGGAGCAAGGGATGCTTCTTCTCCTTCCTTGTGAGAAGATGGCACGGACAAAGGCTGCATGAGCCTCAGCCTGCATCTCCTATTGCATGGCTGCTCCATGCAGAAGGACTTCAGGCATGGTGGATATGTTGCAACCCTGGTATGGCAGGAGGGGAGAGCTGCAGCTCTGGGTTCCTGCAGTTCACACCTTCCCACAAGTCTCTGCAGGCATCTTGCTTGATTTAGCATCTCAGGGCTTCCTGGGGGTGTGCAACAAGCTGGGTGCAGTGTTGAATAAATATCATCTTGTTAGTCCTGCCCTCACTCCCCTGCTGTCCTGTGAACACCCTCATGTGTGGAGGAGGTTTTAGGCTGGGTCCAGCTTGAGTTGAGCCTGTTCTCTCCCTGGAAAGGTGCTCATGTATCAAAGAATTCTTGTGAACCAGAGAGCTCCCTGTTGCCTCCATGCTACTCATAGCTTTTCTTAATTCTTGGTGCATCCCCCCACCATGGGGCTTTGGAGGCCTCCACAGCACCGTGTCCCTTCACACATAACCCAGGTGGATCTGGGCAAGGGTGGTCCCAGGGGAGATCTTTTCCCCAGTATGGCCCATCACAACACTCTGCTCGACAGACACCCTGCAAACGTGCTTGAAAGAGCTGCTGGGTGCCCAGGCTGCCCCAGCCCTTCTGGGCGGGGTAGTTTCAAGTACAGTTTACCCGAAACCAGCTGAGCTGCTGTGCTGTGGACAGGACTTCAATTACAGGACTTGCTACCGAGCTGCTTGAGTCAACCCTGTGTGGCTGCATTGCATCCTATGTGCTGTGGAAGGGCTGGAGCTGGGCACCCAAGTGCCTGCTGGAGCTGATTTGAGGGTGCTGAAGTTTTGTGTAGCAAAGGCAGGGGCAAGGCAGGTTCACATCCTGCCTGTCACCTCCCTGCACAGCGGCAGGGCAAAGTCTGCCAGCCCTGGGGCTCTGCTGGGTGGAGATGGAGGTCAGGCAGGCATTGTGCCTGGGCATCAGGAGGAAGCCATGGGAATCCTTGGCACTGCTTCCTTGCCCTCCAGCCAAGCCATCTGCTCTCCTGGCTGTAAGCTGGCCTGGGGACAGAGTGGAGCTGCCACCATGGTGGGTCCTGCATGCCAGCGCAGCCAGGGGCCGGTCTGCCGGAGCACTGCCGTGGGGTGGCCAGTGCCTCCTGTGCTGGCTCTGCAGGTGTCCTGACTGTGCAGAGATCTTGCTGTACCTGTCCTGGGGTGCCAGTGGCTGCTGCAGTAGGAGCGTGAGCCCTGTGCCGCAGGGCTCCTCACAGCCTGCCTAGCTTTGGGAACCGGTCTGACCAGTTCCCCAAGGCCTTGGCCAGCGGCACTGACCTCACAACTGCCTGTCAGCCACGTGCAGCCTTATCTTCTGGCCTGGAGCTGCCTGCAAGGCTTGATTACCTCTGGCCAAAGCACTCATTGGTGCTCTGCTGCCAGCTCCAGCCATGCTGCCGTGCAGAGAGAACAGGCACAAGAGCTGCCCCAGCCCTGAGCAAGCTGGGCAAGGAGAACAGATCTGGTGGCTGAATGTATCTGGATCCATAGGGCACACTGGGTCTTGTCCCAAAGAGCCCTCCCCATGGGGCAGCCCTTCTTCCCATTCAAGACCCAGCCCCAAGTGCCCTGAAACCCTGAAAGGTTTCATAGCCCAGCACTCCCCTGGCAGAAATGCCTTCCAAGCTCTGCTGCTCCATGGGGATATGCCACATGATCCCACAGCCCTTCCACTTAAAGTGTGCTTTTAGATCCCCTTTGGAGTTCCCACAGTGGAAGAGGGTAATGAGCAGAACAGAGGATGTGTCTCCCGCTTGAAGAAGGTTTATTAGGGCCAGGTTTAAACCAGCAGCAAGTCAGTGTTTGCAGTGCCTAGGCTCACACTGGGCTGGGGGCCTGTGTCCCGGGAGCAAATACAGGGTTTTTCTGCCAGTACTTTTGGTGACCCCTTCCTTTCTTTGTCCTTTTGCAAGTTGATGCATCAAAGCAGGCACAGTTTGTGTGATCTGATGTTAGTAGAATGAGTTGCAGCTGAAGCCACTGAGAGCCTCTTATGGGTACAGGCTGCAGTGCTGTGTGTGATGTCCATGTGTGGGAAAAGTATTAGTGCTCCTCTAGCAAAAAACTAAAGTCTTTTCTATAGCTGGTTAGTTTAATTCTGAAGATAATTTTAAACTAAACAAACTGTTCTCAGAGGAGGTGTTTAGGGGAATGAAAAGGATCAGTTGTGGAAGCAGATATATATACTCTGAGATGCATTCCTCATTCACAGGCTCTGTAGATAAATAAAAGCTATGCTCAATGCTGTGGTGGTCTGGTGGTCTCTACCTGTGCAACCACCCACCAGCAGTGGGGTCTGATGTTCCCCATCCCATTCCTTGGCCCCACAGCCACAGAAGGATGGTGGGGAGCAGCCCTCCTGCAGGCTGCTGCTGTGAGTCTGGCCCACTCGCCACAGACACTTTCATTGTGGCTCGTGTGCATCCTGCAGCTGAGGTCAGCAGTGAGTTCTCTCAGTCCAGTCTCGGTCACTGTTGTTCCTGCATTGCATTCTTCAGGGTTTGTGCTGAGCCTGTCAGCCAAGGGATGTGCTAGTGGCTGGCAGCACTGCTCACCTTGGCAGAGCTTGGGTTAAACTTTTTAAGGCATGAAGGTGACAGTGCCCCAGGAGTTTGGCACTGCTTCTGCCCTTGCTGCCTGGCCATACTCAGAGAAGGCATCGCTGCTCTCTGCTCCTCCTCAGAGCCCTGTTTGACTATGACCGGACCCGGGACAGCTGCTTGCCCAGCCAGGGACTCAGCTTCTCCTACGGGGATATCCTGCATGTCATCAATGCCTCCGATGATGAGTGGTGGCAAGCCAGGCTCGTTACACCCCATGGTGAGAGTGAGCAGATCGGGGTCATCCCCAGCAAGAAGAGGTGAGTGGCTGTCAGCAGGAGTTGTCACACTTGGTGACCCCAGGATTTCCCTGAACTCTGCAAGCAAGCCCTGCAGCCCTCGGGGCCCTGCTCAGGCTTGGATCTCCTTGTGGTCCCAGTCCACTTGCCCCGTGTGGCGTGCAGGGCACCTCGGTTGCAACCTGGGGCTGTGTGCAGGTCTCCCTAGGCAGGTGTTCTCCAAAGCTGTGTGAGACTCCAGGTGAGGAGGAGAGTGGTCAGCCCCCTCTGTGGTCCCTGTGGGGATGTTAGCCAGTCTGGGTCTCCGTGTGAGAACAGAGTCACAGCAGCAAGGCTGCTCCTTGTGTCCCCCTCTCAATCTGTTCAGCTCTGTAGCCAGGTCCCATTATGAGGTGGGAAGTCACAGAGAGCAGAGGAGGTGGCTGCTGCTGCCTTCACGTCTGCAAAGCCAGCCTTGAGTCTGTCCTCTGTCCCTGTTGGGAAGGCTGGCTTGGCTCCTTTCCTGCTCCTGCAGACACTGGCCTGGGCCAGACCCTGGGCAGGCAGCTCCACATCTGACCCTCCCTTGGAAGACGCTTCCATTTGCCAGTGGGGCCACCACCCAAGGGTGCCTTTATCTGCCAGAGGAGCCACTTGGGCAGCGTGGAGGGCACATGGATGGGACTAGCAACTCTTTCTCTCCTGATCAGGGTGGAAAAGAAGGAGAGAGCACGGTTGAAAACAGTGAAGTTCCACGCCAGGACTGGCATGATTGAGTCCAACAGAGTAAGTGCTGATCTGGGGCTCAGTGAGGCACCTGGAACTGGTAACTAGTGAGGGCATGATGAGTCCCAGCAGCAAAAGTTCCTCATGGGGCAGCTCAAGCAATCCCAAGGCAAAGAGCTGTGACTGGACCTGCCCCAGACCCACATCTGCTTGGCACAAACTGAATATGCAGTGATTGAGCAGAGGAGCCCAGGATGGTGCAGAAGTATTGGGGAAGGACCCGTGTTTGGAGAGATGGGTTGGCAGAGCTCATGGCTTGGAGCTGCCTGCAGGCAGCTGGTGAAGGTAGCTGCCCTCACACCTCACGAGCAGTGCCTAACAGGCCAACAAGCAAGGAAGAACAGCCTAGCTACCCCTGCAGAGCTACTGACTGCCCATCAGCTTCCCAGCATCCCTACCACATGTTTTTCTCCAGGCTTAATTTTTTTCCTGCATTACAGTCTCATGTAATCTCCATGATTTCATTTGAGGGTGACTGCCCTGACAGCTCCTCATTGTCTCTTCATTTTAATTTTCCCCACATGCATTAAACACCACTGTTTTTTCTGTCCTCCTTCCATCTCCATGTTCTTCAGTCGATCAAAACGAAACGTAAAAAGAGTTTTCGCCTCTCTCGAAAGTTTCCATTTTACAAGAGCAAAGAGAACCTGGCCCAGGAGAGCAGCGGACAGGAACGTAAGTAGCAGCTGGCCAGAGAGGGCAAGCCTGCAGCCCTCAGGTTCCCTGCCCTGAGGGAAGAGATTTAGCACACTTCCATAGCCAGGGGTTCTCGCACCTGCCTGTACTCAGGTCTGTGCTCCACAGTTGTGCCAGCAGCTAGGGAGAAACTGGAGCTTGAAATGAAAGCAGCAGCTGTACTCTGGCATTCTCTTCCTTTCTCTCATGTTCAATGTCTTCATCTTTTCATCCAACTTCACACCCACCCAACTCCCTGCTCTGCCTCCCCCTGCTCTCCCCTCTTTGCTGCAGGCTCTGCTCCCTCCCTCTGCCTGCTTCCCTCCAAGTGAGGGGCTGGCTGCCTCCTGCAGAGCTTCTCCTGTCCCTGCCAGGGCTCAGCACCTGGGGAGGTCCCAGCTCCATCTTCCCTAGAAGTGATTTACAGCTTCCCATTCCCACTGGAGAGCCCTTCCAGCGGATTAAACCCTGTGGACACGGGGAAGCCATGACCCTGCTGCCCACCCATGACTGAGGCAAATCTTTGGTAGTTGGCTACAGATGTTGGGGGTCCACAGCTCTCACCACCCTGGGATCCCAGTAAAGGCAGGGTGTTTATGTTGTTGCTCCAAATCCTGGTGTGGGTAGCACTGGAGCTGCTCACCAAACCCAACCCCTCCTCCGAGTGGTGAACTGCATCCACTCCTTGGGCAAGCATCCAGGCTGGCAGTGCCCACATCTCTGTGAAGGGGTGGTGGACATGGCAGAGCTGTGTCTGTGCCCCAGTGCCACCACAGCAAGCACATCCCCTCCCCTCTGGGGCTGTCTTAGGTGTCATACAGAGGCAAGAGGTTGCTGCTGGGCTGCTCCAAGGGCTCCCTGCTCCCTGCATCCCCATGACAGGCTGGTGCCAGCTTCCAGTGATTTTAGCAGACAGCACAAGCCTCTGGCCCATGCTGAAGGTTGTCTGTGTGTCTGCCTGTCTCTAGTAGTGCCTGCACATCGCTGGGCTCCAGTGAGATCTGTGCCAAAGATGGGGGCTCACTTTTGGCTGCCTTGCAGTGAGATGACACAGCATGGGGATGGGGCAGGCCACTCTCTTTACCTGCCTGTGTCACAGACACATAGCCAGCTCCCTCCCTGTGCTCTGCCCCTGTCATCCCAGCTTGCAGTGGGGGGGTCTCTGCCTCACATTTCCACAGCCTGTGCAAGCATTGTGGTGTGGGACAGTTGGCACACATTGGTGGGTAAAAATGTGCCCTGCTGCCACATGTTACAGGACTGTGTGCTGTTCCTGGCCCCAGAGTGGCCAGGCTGTGCAGAGCCACTGTGCCCTGCCAGTACACTCCATGAGGAGAAGCACTTCAGCCCCTGTGCCAGCAGCTCAGGGCTGCAACTGCTTGCTGCTAGCTGATGCTGCTGTGGTTGCCCGACCCTCCTAGACCCAGGTGGCTCCTGGGGGCTCTTTGGCAAAGAGGGTGAGCTTGGGGGTCAGAGGGGGTCCAGCCAGGCAAGGCAAGATGTTGGCAGTGGGCTGATGGTGTCAGCTCTGAAAATATTTGACTTCACTTGCAGTTGCAGCTCTGGGCCATTCTACACTCCTGTCACTAATGCTGGTCTGGCTCTGTCTCCCCCATCCCTCTGACTCCCCTTTCCTGCGCTGTCTTCTCTCCCCTTCTCCCCCTTCTTGCTGTCTGTGAAATCAGGACTTCCCTGGGTTAAGTGACGATTATTATGGAGCAAAGAACCTGAGTAAGTTTAATTCTGATGCACATTGTTCCCTTTCTGTGGCTGGTGGTGCCTGGGGAGTGGCTGGCTGGGCTCTGACCGGGGCAGCTGTGCTTCCCTGGCTGCAGGGCAGGAGGAGCCCTGGTGTTGCTCCACTGCCGGGAGGGACCCCACGTGTGCGGCGGAGGCTGTGGGGCTTGAGGTGCCACTGCTGCACGTGGGACGGGATGGGAACGCTTGGGTGGGGGTGTTGGCCATGCCCAAAGTGCCTGCTACACCTCCTCATCCTCTTCCTGCTTCTGTCTGGGTTGGTTGGTGCTTTAGCACTCAGAGCCACTTCCAGTGGGGGTGGGAAGTGGTCAAGGTGGGTCTGCTCTGAATGGGATGGATGACAATATTTTGAGGTGTTCCCACCTTTCTCTGGGTTACCACATATGCAGAACTGCAGAATAATGACAGGAGCCTCATGGGCTTCTCAGCTGGGGTATGAGTTCCCTGCCAAGCTCCGCACCCCCCAGCCAGTGCAGAGCCTGACTGAGGCAGGCAGTGGCTGGCAAGCCTCTGTGGGGTGGTCGCAGCATTAGGATCAGCCTGAGCAAGCAAAGCCCCAAACTCTGTCCCATTCTGTCACTGTCTCGTCTCTGTGCGTCCCAGCCCCATCCCCAGAGGTAGGCTGCCCCATCTCTGTGCCAGCACAGCTGTGCCCTCCCCTCCCCACTGTGTGCATGCTGCACCTGCTCCCCTGCCAGCATGGTTCTCCCTGTGCACTCCACCTTCCCTCGGCCTGGGAAGCCCAGTGCCTTCACATCTGCCCTCCTGGCCTCTCTTGTCTTCTCCCGGAAGCATCCCCCTGCATGTCCCCAGGTTCCCAGCAAAGGGTGAAAGATGCCGCCCTTGCCCGTGTGGCACACTTGTCCCAGTGGGTGGTGGGTTGCAGGTTTTTCGTGAGGCCAGCGCTGTCCTGCCCTTGATCAGTAGTGCTGGGTGACAGCCCAGGAGCCCCCGTGCCTCCTGCCCATGCTCCTTCTGAAGGGGATCTCTCTGGTTGCTTTGCAGAGGGCGTGACATCAAACACCAGTGACAGCGAGAGCAGTTCCAGTAAGTGTGTGTCCACCTGCTCTCCCGCCCCGTGTACGTGTGTGTGTCCTTGTATGAGTGTGCATGTTTGGGCACTTCCATCTTGTCTTGTCCCAGTGGTGGTTCTGTTCGGAGGCTGGTCCTTCCTGCTGGTGACTCTGAGATGCTGCGGCCAGCTCCCTCCTCGGAGCCAGGGAGAGCAAGGGCTGGGGAGTAGGAATGAACCTGCCTGCTTCACTGCTCTCTCCTGGCTGCACAGCTCTGCTCCAGCGCAGGGTGGTGGGTTCACAGTCCATGATGATCCCCCTGTAGTGCCTGATACAGGAAGCAATGGCCAGAGGCCAGGGCTGTAGCACAGATGATTCCTGGAGCCCAAGCCTGTACAAGAGCAAGGGATCCAGCTGCAATAGATGCTCCCTTTCTCCCCAGAAAGTCCCCTAAATACCTAGGGAGGACAGTACATCCCAGTGGGCTGGGAGCCTGCAGCGGTGGGGGAGGGAAAGAGGAGTCTTGACCCAGAGCTGGGACATGAATAATTAAAGTGACTCAGGGGCGCATAACTGCATGCCCATCATGCTTCACATGCATGTGTGGAGTGATGGGGACAGCCTGGAGTGTCCCCAGAGCTGTGGCAGGCTGAAGGAGCAGGAGCCAGCTCCTCACAGCTGCAGAAGGGCTGAAGAGCTGCTGCAAGTGCTCACCTACATCCCCCTGGCTCTCTTGCAGAAGGACAAGAGGACACCATCCTGTCATACGAGCCAGTGACACGGCAAGAAAGTAAGTCCTGAGCCGAACTGCCCCATGCCCACTCCAGTGGGGCCACCTGTGTCCCCAGCACAGCCAGGGTGTCCAGTGCACCCTCCCCTCCTGCCACACCAGCAGAGGATTGGGTGGATGCAAGTGGAGTCTCGTGTGGCATGTAGCAGGGGAGCCAGGTGTGCACAGCTTTCCCTGGCCTCCACTGCCCAGTTTCAATCAACAGAAAGGATTTGTGTTCTGGTCTGCAAGACCAAGGGAGAGATCCAGAGCTAAAACTGAGCTGGGCTTTAGTCCTCAGCTGAGGACAAGACCCCTGGCCACACCCCCAGCCTTTAGCCTTGCTTGATGCTCAAACCCTGCAGACCCTTTCACAGGCTGTATAATCCCAGTCTCGGTGGTCTGCCCTTGCCAGAAGCTGGATCTGACTCTGAGGCTCCCAGGGCTCCGTGGCATTCTCACCCAGCTGTCCTGGTTGCCTGGCTCCTGCCCCAAGCAAGGGAGCAGCTTTACCGATCCATGACCCTGGAGACCTGCAGAACCTTCCCCAGGGCCATGCAGATGGTTTGGGTCAGATGGGAAGGACATGTTGACCATGACCAGGAGGAGACAAACTCGCACGGAGGAGGCACCTTTGGGTGCCCATGTGAGCAGGAGCACCCACTGCCAGCAGGGAGAGGGCAGGTCAATGCCAAAAGTGGCAGTAGGGTCAGCTGCCAGCAGCACAGGTGGGCCTCAGGTTGTGGCTTTGTTTGCAGTTCACTATGCGAGGCCGGTGATCATCTTGGGGCCAACAAAGGACCGAATTAATGACGACCTCATCTCTGAATTCCCACACAAGTTTGGTTCCTGCGTGCCCCGTAAGTCCCAGCCAGCACTCAGTGCCCTTGCTGGAGGGAGTGGAGAGAGATGGCTCTGCTCCTTGCAGGGTCCTGCCCGTGGCGTGGGGAGGGAGCTGGGAGCACAGGTGGGTTGTGTCCCTCCAGGTTTGTGGTGTGTCACTCTGGGCTCACTCTTGATTCCCACTCTCCTCCAGACACCACCAGGCCTCGGCGCGAGAACGAGGTGGATGGCCAGGACTACCACTTTGTTGTATCCCGGGAACAGATGGAGAAAGACATTCAGGACAACAAGTTCATCGAGGCTGGGCAGTTCAATGACAATCTCTATGGGACTAGCATCCAGTCAGTGCGAGCGGTGGCAGAGAGGGTGAGTGTCAGGTGCCATTCCTGGGACTGGGATGCATCCAGCCCGAACCCACACGTATTCAGCAGCTCCCCTCCTTTCCCCGTGGTGTTAATGAAGGGCTGTAACCACATTAAGCAAGCACAGCACAATCCTCTCCTCCTTCCAGAGTCCTGCCAAGTCGTGTGGCTGCTTTTCTCAGCTGCTTTACTCTATCTCAGTGTGGTACTTCTGTCATCCAAACACCACCCAAAAGCCTGGCACTGGTCCCCAGCCTTGTGTTCAGGAGCTCACAGGATAGAGATACCTGGGTGCCCTCAAAGCAGCAGTGTTCCTCTGGAGGAGTCCTGGGGTTACCCAGGAAAATCTGAAGGGCTGAAGCACCTTGGGAAGAAATAAAAAACTCCTGCCAGGCATTTCCATGCTATGACTGTGCTGGTTCTGAAGCCCTGATGCCACAGTTGAAGGCTGAAAGGGGGAAATAATTTGATTATCTGTGATTTCTCCAACTGAGCATCTGAGTTATCAACTCCAACTGAGTTACTGGGGCTTATAAATAGTTTCACATGTCCAGACAAAGGTTCAGTCCCTTTGCATTGCTGCTGTCCTGCAACAAGCAGGAATGTGAGGCCATTGGGAGATGGCTTGCATCTCAGGAGTGGGGTTCCTTTCTGTCTCCTCCCTTTTCAAGCACATCTGTATGAGCAAGCTGTTTCCCACACAGAGTAGACTGTGTGGGTAGGTCTGATCCTGCTTATCTCCTTTCCAGGGGAAGCACTGCATCCTGGATGTGTCTGGCAATGCTATCAAGAGGTTGCGACAAGCACAACTTTATCCCATTGCCATTTTCATCAAACCAAAATCCATTGAAGCCCTCATGTAAGTGCAGCACCATGTTCTGTGCTTCTCCAGCTGCTTGTCCTGCTGCTTCTGGCCCTGGTAGTGCAGGCTGGAAAGGATGTGAGAGCTGAGCTTGCGAATCTTCTGAGCAGCAGCAGCAGAGAATATTATGTGTGAGGTGATTCAACAGCTTGAGAGTGACCCTGAGATCAGAAGAAATTCTGCTGGATCCAAGGGACCTGGGAAAGCCATTTCTCAAGTCAGAAGGAGTCAAATTGCTTATTTCTATGTTTTATCAGGATGAGAAAACCTAGGCAAGCAGGGAGACTTCTGCAGCGGTCTCACAAATTTAAGGGATTGTCCGAGTTTGAATTCCCTTCCATGCTATGGTGAAAGAGGGTGGGGTGGGTGGCAATGGGAAGAGAGCTGATGGAAGTGGAGATGAAGTGTCAAGGCAGCCTGGAGTCTGTGGAGAAGGGCCCAGCTGAGCTGGGTCCTGCACAGCTTCTATCCCTGTGAGCAGAGGATTCCCAGGCACCCTGGCTCTGTGGGCTATTTTTGCTTCTGTTCATTGCTAAGAAAAAGAGCTAAAAAGTTTCCAATTTTTGTGTGTGGCAGGGAGATGAACCGGAGACAGACATATGAACAGGCCAACAAGGTCTTTGACAAAGCCATGAAACTTGAGCAAGAGTTTGGAGAATATTTTACAGGTGAGTGTCTTGAGCAGGCTTGTATCTGATTTACTTCATTTTTCCATCCAGCAGCTGTGACCTCTCTACCAGCACTGTCCTACTGTAGGGTCATGGGAAAACATCCAGCTTCCTCAAAGCTAAAAAGAAATGGCACTTTGCCAGGAGGGCTCTGCAAGGGGACTGCTCCAAGATCAGTGGACAAAGTAAATCAGACATAGAGGAGAAGACAAGTTGTCAGGCAAGATTTTCTGAATTTGTGAAAGCTTATCATCAACTTCAACAATAAAAACAATCTAAAAATCCCCAAGCAGGGGAAGCACAGGGTTTCAGAGTGGTACAAGTGTACAGGAAGTAAACTCCCTGCATGGGAGAAAAGGGGAGCATTTTCAAAAAGAGAAAAGAAAAGTTTCTAAAGAGGAAAGATAAAAAATTAGTGACCTAAATGGTGGAGACAGTCCTGAGTTATTACAAAATATCTACCAAAAAAGACTGAAAGTTTGGCTTGCTTCCTAAGTAGCCTTTGCTCAAGAACCCTTCAGGGGTTGCTGACACTTTGTGCCTGCTGAGGTGAACTGCTCATGACACAAGCATCCTTGTGCATTAAGGAACTAATGTTTGTAATATGATTAATTCTGGGAAACCACAGGCAGGTGAAGAGGCAGAGGAACTGGTCTTCCATCCTTTTCCAGTGCAATAGCTGTTTCTTCTGAAGTTGAGGAATGATAATGTTGCCAAGCTGTGCATTACCCACCTAACAGCTACTGGGAAAAACCACAAGCAGGATGTTTTCCAAAAATTATTTCAGCTGGGCAAATACTGGGGTACAAGCACGGTGAGCTTTCCCCAGACCTCCTGTCCTGAGTTCCAGAGCTGCTAGATGTTCTTCCAGGAAGACATGCCACAGTTTTGCAGGCCCTCAGCATGCCACTGTACACTTGGAGGGCGAGTGTGATGTTGACCCGTGAGAAAGGAATGCTGTTGGCTGAAATGTGTTGAAAGAGCTGGGTAATGGGCAGAGAGATGGTCACTGTTACAGGTTCTGTGTCAGCAACTTTGAATGAGGCAGCAGAGATACTGGAGGATGGTCCTGGCTGGGTTACAAAGGCAGGCTGGATTACCAGAAAGCTTTGGCCCTTCTTGAGCCTCTTGCTGTGATGTGAGTGCCTCGTGCTGTGTCTGTGTTGAGCAGCAGGATGGAGCAGGGAGTGCTGCTGGGAGCCTTTCCCAGCCTGAGAGCTCTGTGTCCCCACCCTGCAGCACAGGAGGCAAACACGAGGAGCCCTCAGCAGCCGGCCAGAAGGAAAACCAGAGGAAAGGGACAAAGCTGGCACCTCGGGGCAGGTGCTTGGTGCACCCCAGTGAGCTGCCCCAGCCCTGCCTTCCCTGGTTCTGGTCAGCGCAGCCGTGGCGGTGCCAGGCCCGGTGCCTGACGCAGTGTGCAAAGCTGATTAGCAGCCTGGTGTGGAGAGCCCAGCTGGCCCTGTACACAGCCAGGAGCTCTGCCAGCTGGGATCAGCACCAGCTAATCCCCACCGAGGTGCTGCTTTAACCCTCTGTGTCACTGGGCCCACGACAGCGGCTCTGACACCACCTGGTTCAGTCCCTCTGGCTGCGCCCTCCAGCCTTTTTGGGCAGCAGGAAGGCTCTCCCGTCATTCAAGGCAGTGCTGCCTGGTGCTCAGGGTTTGGCTTGTTCTCTCCTCTTCCAGCCATTGTACAAGGAGACTCTCTTGAAGAAATCTACAGCAAAATCAAACAGATCATTGAGGACCAGTCTGGGCACTACATCTGGGTCCCATCCCCAGAGAAACTCTGAAGACGTCTCCCACCTGCTTCCTTGTGAGCAGAAGATCTCCGAAGTCCCACCCATCCAAGCCCTCTGCCCCAAGGGGGAGGGATATGAAAACTACTCCTGTTCCCTTTTTTAGGTCGTTGTAAAATTGAGTTTTCTAGTCCTGTTTCTTTTGTTGGGATGAACTCATAGCATTCATCACGTGACTGTTCCCACCATTCCTGCATGGACCTTCCCACTGCTCCAGTAGAGACAAACAAGAACCCATTCAAGGTCTTTTTTTTTATAATTATATTATTATTATTATTATTATTATTATTATTATTATTATTATTATTATTATCTAAACAAAGAATCAAGATGGGAGAAGGCGGCTAAGGACTAATGTAAGAAAACAAGTGAAAAAATGGACTCTGAACACATGAGCTGGTATCAGAGCTCCAGGGGCATTTTTCCAAGTGTGACTGTCTAGCAGCTCTGAACAGTGCGACAGATGGGCAGCAGAAAGCATTTTATTTATCTGTATATGTAATTTATATATAATATAGAGGAGAGATATTATATATATATTATATATATATATATGTATGTGGAATAGGAAATCTGAGGGACCTCTCTGAAAAGGTGTTGTATTATTGCAAGGTTCTTTCAGTTCATCTGTCCCAACCACTCGGCGTAGGGAGTCCACTTGGGCAGGAAGAGCTCAAAATGGTACCAGGTGCTTTGGAAACTTCTCCTGTCCAGGCCAGTTCCCTACAGCCACCCCGAGTCTGAGACAGGCCAGAGACTGGTACTGCCTGTGCAGGAGGGACCAGAGCAAGGAGCAGCAGCTGGCCTGCGAGAGGCTGGGAGACAGAGACTGAGCAGGAGGTTGTGGAGCAAGAGAATGGATGATGCTACATATTAAATTGCACATTGTTTTACACACCACCTTATGTGTTTGCATGAGAGGTTTCCTTTTGGTTCTATTTTTTTAAGCTGACTTTAAACCAAAACCATATTGTGTTGTTGTGTTGGCTTTTTTTAATATTATTATTATTATTCCATTTCTTTCTTGTTAATGATGAACTGAATGGATATAAAATCCAGTTTTTTAACTTATTTTTTAAGCTGGCTCTATTGTAAATAGAATCTAGATCTGTGGTGTTTAGTTAAGAAATATTTTACTGGCCACATGGAACAAATGTACTCACCGTCCTGTGTTGCTGTGAAAAACCTGGGATATTGGACTGGTCCTGTACCTGTGGGTGCAGGTGGAATGACCCTTTCTGGCTTGTGGCAGCACACTGCCATTCTCTTCTGCATTAGCCACTGGCAGGAAAAGCCCCCAGCTGTGCCTTGGATGGACACTCACATTTTCCAGATCAGTAACAGAAATGAAACCCTTCCTCCCTTCTCTGCTCCATGATGAGTTCCCAGGCCTGCTGTGTGCAGGTGCCAGGGGTGGCTCTCCCGGGGAGGGACCCTCCTTCCAGCAAAGGTGACTGCATGGCCACCTTGCCTGGCTCGGTCTCCGATATCTCTGAGTGAATCTGTGGCTGAAGCTGGGTTCTGCTGCCTTCCCCAAGCCACCCCAAAGCCCTGAAGTGGTGCCCCAGCTCGCAGGCTGAGGGGCAGGGCTGCCCCATCTGCTGGGCACTGGCATTTTTCAGGGGAGGCACTGAGACACTTGGCCCTATGCTGAGACATGTCTGCCTTTGAGGACACTTTGGCTTCTGTGCTTGAGGGGGGCTCCAGACCCTTGTGTGCAGCTGGGGACACTCAACGTGGCCTTTGAGGAGTGTGTGCTGGGTACTCAGTTCAGGTCCCAGCACTCCCCCCGTACAGAGAGCTGGTGAATGCTGTTCCTCACACAGTGCCACACCCCGCAGCACAGGAGGTCGCTGTCCAAGCACGACCAGGTAAGTCTCCTCCTGCCTGTGTTTGGCAGGGACCAGCTGCGGTCCTCTCCCCAAGGTGATGGCTCTCAGTGTGTCAGGCAGTGCCTGGCACACAGGCCACGGCTGCCAGCGTGAGCCAGAGCTGCTGTGACACTGTCCATGTGCTTTGCCCGTCCTGCATCCCAAGGAGCCCTGCAGGGACCAAGCAGCTTCTGGGACCAGGACACGGCACTCCAGGAGAGCAGAGCCACGGCTGTGAGCACAGTGGAGGGCAGGAGGATTCTGCTGTCAGTGGGACCGACCCTAAAGGAGCACACAGAACTTTGTCAATGGATTCTTGTCTGGCATCCAGCCCCTGCCCCGCTGGTCCTGCTCCAGCTGCTATAAATGTCGGTCCCTGAAGAAGTGGAGTAAGTGAAACAAAAGTCCTTAAGGTGCTAGTCACACATTCCTATTTTTTCTGGTCTTTTTTCTTTTTTCTGTTTTTTTCCTAATAGCCTGTCTCCCTTTATCAAGTCACGTGGAGAAAAAGATGATGTACTCCATGGCATAGCTGACAGTATCGAATCGATCATGACAACAGTAGTTGGTTAACAGTGTTTCTTCCAAGGAGACATATATTTTTAATAAACAGAGAGTTGCAAAGAACTCTTGTCTTTGAGACCTTCTTTTAGAGTCCTTCATTGTGTATCAGATCTGGGTTTTTTGGTGCTGGTGTTAGCAACTCTTGATATGGTCTCCCTATGGCAAACTGAAGTGTTGACAGTGGTTTAGGAAAAAAATAGCTTTTTTTAGTATAAAAGGTGATGCCTGAAAACTTACCTAGTGGAAAAATGAAATCTTAAAAAAAAAAATAGAAAATAAAAGAAAGGAAGTGGGCTTATTTAGAGCTGCAACTCAGCCACTGAAAAGTGCTTTTGGTTGGGTTGTTTTAACCAAGTTAAGTCTGGCCTGATGACACAACAACATAATGTATTTTGGATCATGGCTTGAATTCTGGGGAGGTTGCTTTACAAATAATAGGGTTTATAGGCTGCTACATAATTGTTCTTATATTAGATATAAAGACAACAAAGGAAATACATAGTCCAACTAATATAGAGCTTCTTTTCACAGTTTTAACATGCTGTTTAAATATCAGAGAGAAGAAAAGTTGTAAAGACAACTAGTATAATTTTTACCTTCAAATGCAAAGAAAAGGAGTGTTCACTGAGAGACAAATGTGGTTAAAGAAGTGTCACAGTACTTTGGTGCCTGAATCTGCTTTGTCATTTAGCTGAGCTGAAGGAAGGGTGAAGGGGGTTGGTTTTTAAGTACTAGATTTCTTTCTTACTTTCAAACTGCACAGAAGAGAAGCAAATTGTGATTCAGGGGAACAAGGACGTTTTACCAACTGAGCATGGGCATACAGTTTTTCTGAGTGTTCAGTTTGTGAAGATCACTGGACAACTTCAAAACCATTTAGAAACTCCTTTCACTGATCAGATCAACAGCCTGGGGGTGGTGGTTGTCCATAAAACACCAGACGATTAAGCAGCTGCTAAGCAGACCTTATGCTAAAATTAACCACTTTCAAAAATCAAACTTTGCTTGCATGCTGACAGATTTGGAGTCATGGATGAAGCAGCACAGAAATATTGTCTGTTGCTGCTGCCCCAGCGCTGCCAGGCTGCTCTGCCCAGCCCAACCCGTGTGAGGCTGCAGACACCCCTCCCCTGGCAGCCCATGGCCTGTCCTAAGCTCATGTGTCACCTCCATCTGCTGGGACAGGGGAACATTCAGGGCTCCAGGAGGGAAAGCAACTCGGGGTTATCTTCTCAAATAAACCCTATCACTCCTGTAAGGCAGAACAACCTCTAGAAGAGAAACGTGAAGAGAAAGAGGGTGGCATGGAGAAGGAACTTGCTCTGTTAAAGCTGTAATCACCCATTTCCCTGGCTAAGGATAAGTTGCTCTGCCAACCAGGACTTTTGCAGTCTTGGCCCAGAAAATAGAAGAGCATTGTCCTGAGAATGGTCCTGTCTAGTTGTGAAATGTAGGAGCTGGTTCTTTTCTCTTCCAAGGTGTCCTGCTAAAGCTGCCTGCAACCAGCAGGAAACTAATCTCTCATAAGACACTTCTAGAAAATTAGATTGTAAGCTGCTTGTGCTATAGAGAAACATGTCTGTGCTTCTGTCTGCAGCTCTGGGTAATTAGCTGTCTTAGCTCAGCAGAAGAGCACAGGTTGTGCTGTGAGGCTACTGGAAGAGGGGCTTTAAAGGAATGTAATTAGAATTTTCTCAACATTTTTTCTCCTTTGATGGAGCTGTCTTAGATATACCCGTTGTTGCTAATGATGCTTGGCAGCACAATCTTCAAAAACTGCTGTTCTCTGCTTTCCTCAGGCTGTCACAGCAGGATTCATGGCACTGAAGCATCTGCTGTTGTCAAAGGTGTTTCCTCAATAATCCTTGGGTACACCTTGACCTTCGGTGTTTATTTATATCCCTTGCCTCCAAAATTAGGGTCATATGTTTACTCTCAGGGTTTTTAACCCTAAGAAAAACCATTACACGTTGTTAGAGTGTAATGTGTAATGTGTATAGTGCAGCATCTCTGAATGATACAAGCACATGGGAGCACCTATGGGACTTGCTTGGGGCCACACTTGACTCAGCACAGGGGTGACTCTGGAATTTCCTCCCCTATTACAGTGCACTACTTGAAAAAGCTTCTACCCAATCCTCTAATGAGCCTCAGCCCTCTTCCAATTACCTTGATGTATGATTACTGTGACCACTTCTAAGTGTTAGTGGCCAGGCCAGCCCCTCTTCCTTTCCTCCCTCTCCCAAATGCTCGATGCAGCCACAACAGTGGGAGCAAAGCCCTTCTCACACTGGTGGGAGGTCTGCCCTCAGTGGAGAGCTGCTGGAGAAGCCCTGCTCATGCTGCAGGTGCCTCTGGGTGAGGTGGTAGAAGGGGCTCCAGGGCTCAGCAGCTGAGCTGGTATCTTCCATGCCCTGCCCCATTCCAGAGTCTTCTCAGCAAGGACGTTTTTCCCAGGGCAGGCTCCCTGCCCCATCAATCCCAGGGGGTCAGTTTGGACTCGCCCTCTCCCTGGACCTATTCCCAATCCACACTGCAATTCCCTTGTGCCTCTGCACTGCTGCTCCTCCCCAAACAGTTATGAAGTCAAATTAGCTGGGGAAAGGGGCATAAAGTACTGGCTGGGGAAAGGGGAGGAAGTTTGTGACCTCCCATCCTGGAGGATCCATTTGTGGAGGACTCTGCAGTACAGAACCAGTGTCCAGCACACCCTGAAGCTTCTACAATGATGTGTAAATAGGAAAGTACAGCTGCAATGCCACCCTCTGGAGCCATCTGTGGACATCCAGGGATGAGAACACAGGCTCTCTGAGCTGAAAGAAAACAGGGATCAATGAAAAGGTAAGAATGGGGGAGGAATGAACAGCCCTGTTGCTGCTGGTGGCTTAGAAAATATTTATAAACCACAGTCACCCTCGATGGGCTACTGAACTGTAAAGCAGCATTTAGCCTGGAGAAATAACCTGGACCAGCCTGCATCTGGACCAGCAAACACCTGCAAAGGTGTGATTGCGCACAAGCTACCTACTGGGAACAGCCACTGGAAATGCAGCTAATTACAGTCTGATTCAACTAGGAGAGGAATTCTTGCCCTACTTAAACCCTTTGGTAAATACTAAGCCTGGAATAAAATGTACAATGTAAAAATGTTCAAGAAGAGATGAGTACTATCAGCAGAGTCTGAAACTTATCTGATCCGGGCTCTTCAGTGCTGTCTGTAGCATAACAGAAATCAGAGTATCTCCAAGGAAAAAATTCAAACCATTCTGGCTGTAAGCAAACCCACATTTAGTGCTTGCTGCCTTCTAAGGCTGTATATAATTACCTCCTTGCACTTGCTGGGCAAACATGACCTTTCTCACCAGGTACAGTGTGACACCTTTACCTGTTTATGTGTGTGTGCAAGTCAGAACTGAGCAGTAATTAAACCCAGCCCGGCAGGCTCCAAGGAGATACTGCAGGCAGGATGGAAACCTTTGAGTTTGTGGCATTGTTCAGAGTGCCCCAGTGCTGTGATGCAGCATGGATCTCCAAAACTGTGACTCCAGAATTTTCTGTGGCATTTGAGACCTGGATTTTTATAGATTTAAAGGTATTTCTTAGTTAAACAGCTAGTACGTTGTGCATTAGAGATGTGAAAGCAGTGTCTCAGAGACCCAAACTAGGTCTAGTGAACTGATTTAAGTTCACCATGAAATGGAGAAGTTACACTAAACAGATCCATTCCCCTATCAAGGAACTCCCCTGTGCTAACCTTCAGATGCCCCTCCTGGAGTCAGACTGACACCACCCCAGCCTGTCCCTGCTGGGACCGAAGGCCCTTTGCAGTGGCAGCTCCAGTGACCCAGTGGGTCCTCATTTGGTTCCTTGCACATCCCACACTCACACAGACAGGATTCCCCACTGGCTCAATCCCAGGTTTCCCACAGCCAAGTCCCAGATGTGCTCAGACTTGCTGAGCACCTGCCTGGCCCAGGGTTCAGTGAGCTGCAAGGGAGGAGAGCAGCCCTCACAGCACTGCCAGTGACAGCTGCAGCTTCTTCCCTGAGCTCAGCACTGCTGGTTTTTCTATTCCAAGGGACAGTGAAACCAGCAAACAGCTCTGAATTCTTGTTCCCACCGAAATGGACTGGAAACTAAACAATCTGATAAATATTTATGCAGCAAGGCAGCTATGACAACCAGAGGAGATGGAATACTTTTTAAAAACTTTTATCGTGTTCATTGCCATTTGCTACTAAAACAAGATATTTAAACCAACCTGTTACACAACAGCAGAGACATCTCATATAAAAGTTAAATATTTATTTCTAACCGTTAAATAGCTCCAAAGAATGAAAATTATCCCCTAAAGGAAAACAATTACATTTCTTGAATAAACACTTCCTTAAAAGTACACAACTTCTTTGCCAACAAGAAGGAGATCCTGGTTTCTTTCCCACTGCTCCCATGGCCCTGTGCCTTCACAGAGCTAATGGCCTCTCATTCAGCAGAACATTTCCAAGAGAGACTGCTTTCCTTTTTTTGTAGTTGTGGCTGTCGTTATTCTTCACTTGGAATAAATCCTTTTGCTCTGTCCAGCTTGTCCAGAACCTCACTATAAAGGGCAACCATCTGGAGAATATGAGCACCACAGTTGTCAACAAAGATGGATAAAAATGTACCATTTAACTAAGTGTATCATTTAACACAGAACAGAACTAGGGGAATAGGTGGGAGACTACAACCAGCTTCTAAACCTAAAATTTCAAACTGATGTAAAGATTTTTGGCACAGGTTTAAATACAATGGTTTAGGGAAAAAAAAAAAAAAAGATCAGTGCAACCTAACAAAAGTTATTTAATTTACAGTCATAAATCATAGTTTATATGTGAGTCTTATATCAGTACATAAACCTATTCACCAAATCACAGATGTTGGGAGTTGATGCTGAGGGTGGGGAAGACTTCTTATTGTCAGCTCTTACTGCCCTAACAGATGTATTTAAAATGGTGTAAGATTTAGAGCCAACCTCTTGATTGCTCAGCTTGTACACCAGAGAATGAATGGTGACACCAGCCAGG